TAATATAATATAATATAATATAATATAATATAATATAATATAATATAATATAATATAATAATCTATCTTTACAGAATTCTCTTCTGTACCCCAGGCCACCCACAGTTGCTTGTTTTGTGAAATGGGTGATTATATAAATTAGACAAATACATAAATAAATGAACTATCAAGTCAATCTTATCTATTTTAAACTTTTTGTTTGTTTAGATATGAAATACGTGATGACCACACCTTGAAAATCCGGAAAGTTATGGCAGGAGACATGGGTTCTTATACTTGTGTTGCAGAAAATATGGTTGGAAAAACAGAAGCATCAGCAACTTTAACAGTTCAAGGTTCTCTTTTTTAATATATTAATATCATTTTAAAACTAACATAGATAGGTGATACATGGATACAATAAAAGCATAATCTTTTATTATCAAAAACCAGAAAGATCATTATTGATCATTTTTGCAGATTTCTATTATGTAAAGTATTGCACTATGATATTTTGGGTTATGTTTCATAATGTAAATAACGTAAGTACTACAGTATTCTTTAAAATATGTTGTTTAAATAACAAATAACAATAATTAATGAAAGGGTTAATTATATGACGTATTTCTTTGTGACTTACATTGTCTAGGTTTTACTATCATTCAACTTTATAATAACTTTTTTATCTCCTCAGTAGTGGCCAAAAAATACTATAATTTCCTAGTGGGGACTTTCTAAGAATCCTGTTAAAGATGTAATTTTGCCAGGCTTCGGTGACAGCAGGGATTTGCGTTTCTTCGCGATCCCTGCTGTGCTCGCCGTCTTGGTGCCTCCGATCCAGATGGATTTGGAGGATAAGGCTGCCCTGTAGAGGCAGCCGAAGATAGGGAGGATCTGGGAAGGGGTTTGGGGGTGTCGCACACCCCCTCCTCACCCAGCTTAACCTCCTTTTCTCAAGGCGGTGCAGCGGCGGTCATAATGGCCACCACCAAGAAGCTGGCAGCTGGAAAAGATTGCGCAGGAGGAAGGAGGAGAAGGAAGATTTAAACCATGGAAGTGTTGGCTGTACCGGGAAAATAACAGCTTTTAAAACCCTGGAGTGGAATTGTTTATTGCCTGAAAGATACATTGTATCCCTAAGAAGAGAGACAGCGGCGGAGGGAAATCTTTTTTTTTTTTCTACTTACTCTCCCACCCCACAGAAGCATTAAATGCAGAACTGGAAAATGCATTGGGCACCGAAGATATTTTAACTCGAAAATTATCAGAGAAAGGACTTTGGACTTTGGACTTAACATCCTCAGAAATTGGAAAGCCCGAATTGGAGGATGGCATTGCTTTTGGATGAATTAAAAACTCAATACCAAAAATACAAGAAAGAAGAGCAAGATGGAAAAGATTCTTGGGGCACTCTTTTTCAATTTTTAGAGATGGCGTTACGCACCTATGAAAAATTGACTACACAGCAAGACGACTGCAACAAAGAAGAAGAAGAAGCCATTTTGGATGAGCAACGGGTTCACTTTGGGGAGGAGGAGGAAGAGGAAAAGAAAAAGGGGATTTTAAGGGTAGAGAAAACAATCCAAAAAGAGAAAAATGAGATGAAAGCTGGATATAAGGTTAGAATACAACAGAAAGTGAGTAAGCAGAAGAAGAAAAGAGGGGAGGAGAGACAAGGGGGGAAAAAAGGCAAGGAGAAAAATAAACAAATGAGAAAGGAGGGGGTGAAAAACCTTAATGCTGGGAAGCAAGACTTTAAGAAACAAAATCTATTTAGAGACAATGGGTAATTTAAATGAAAAAGGGATTCTGGAAGGTACATAAAAGTGTGATTTTCTATGTGTATTCAGAGTAGAATGTGTATTAGTACGTATGATTTGCTTTTTTATGGTATTTCTGGTGGGTTATAGGCTTATATTTTGTAATTGTAGCCTATTTGCTTTTTTCATAAAGTTCTTCTTTTTGTGTGATGTGTAATTTTAGAATGTACTAACCAGAATCTCAATATAATTTAAGTGTTATATTAAGTATTGTGAAGTTAGGGAAAAGAGTTAAAGGTGTTACTCCAGTTAGTCTACAGGAGAGTATATTTAAAGAAAAAAGATGAATGGATAACTGTAAAAGAACAGACAAAAAATGTTAAGTACTATGAATTGCATTGAAATAAGATAAATAAAATATGATTAAGAAAGATAAAAGAGGGAAGAAGTTATACAGAAAATTGAAAATGGTAATAAGATATGGATTGACATATAAAGTAAATATTTTTTTTTTTGAATTTGTGTCTGTGTGAAGAGTTTTAACCCGGGATCAAGCAGCTTTCAGAAATGAGGTTTTTGAGGTTCTATGTTATGTATGTCTTGTCTATTGTTTTTTTTTAAAAAAAAATTTTTTTGATTAGTAAGAAATATAATCTGGATAACAGAATGAAAAGGAGAAATTGGGATAGGATATGAAGATGAGTAGATAATGTAAATGCAAATATTATATTTGGTATGTTTTATTGGTTACTCCAGAAAGATTTTTTATTTTAATATGCCTTGATTGTTTGTATGTTTTGTAAAGTTAACAAAATTTGTTCTTTTTTTTAAAAAAAAAAAGCTAAAATAAGTCAGAGGAAAATAGAAGTGTGATGATTGAATAGCAGATGAATAAGATGATATAAAATAATGTGTTACCTGCTTTGTAAAGACCTATGGGAAAGCATTTTTTTTTTAGTGTTTGATGATGCTTTGTCTTGTTTGTTTCTTGTTAAAATTAATAAAATTTGTTTCAAAAAAAAGAGATGTAATTTAAAAACATATTCTATATGTATAGTCTACTATATGTATTATCTACAGACTTGTACATGTCTTATCTAAAACAGAAACAATGTATTTCTGCTTCTTAAGAAACAAGATATTCATTAAAATAACAAATCCAAACTACAGTTAGTAATTTCAGATATCAATAAGAGAACATAGTTTACAAGGATATTCCTTCTATTGTAGTATAAATGTCTTGCAGAATTCAGAATATATTAAGATAAGCAATGACACACACTATGTGTGTGTGTATGTATATATGTGTATATATGGATATATACTGTATATATGCACACATCCTGTAAATATACACACACATACACAGAAATTTTCTAAATGTTTATTCAATTCTTTGCTTCCTTTTTTGGCTGAAGGCAGACAATTATGTCATATAGTTTTGTATGTAAGACAATTTACTTTGATCATCTGATTTATTCCCTTTTTCTCACAGTCTAGTTTGCACTCTTAATCTCATAATAATATACATTTTTCTCAAAACTGTTTAAAAATCAGGATATAAGATCAGACTGTAAATATTCTATGCTTAGTATATTGAGCTTTTTAAAACAAATACTAAATATAATGCTACTATAAAAACCAAGGCAAAAACAATGGTCTCATTTTTATAGATAGTGAATAAATGTTCTTGAATCAATACCATTGATGTTAAAAACCTTTCTCTGACTCATTTTCCAATTACTACATTCTGTTCTGTAGCATAGAAGTAAAAGTTATTTGAGCCCTTGCTACAGTTGTTTTATTATCTGACTGAAATTCTGACCTAGGCTTCCCAAGATCATGAAACAGACTCCTCATCCCAATAAAACCCTTTTTATTTAGGTTAAAGTGAATTCCTCTCCAGCAATGTCCTGGCAAACAGTCTTTCATGAGATTTCACAACTACAGACCTTTATCAGGAGAGTTGACAGGCCGATACCTTCCAAATGCCATGCTGTAGCAGAAATTACTTGGCAAGAAGTTAGGAACAGATCTTCACCCTAATGAATTGAACTAATTGTGCCCTGGAAACACCACTCCCCTTTATTCCCTATGGAAGGGGCCATTCACTGTCCATCTGTGCCCTTACTCCCAAGTTGACCCTTGTTCTTTAACTGTTCTCTTCTCCTGGCAGCTCTGCACATGTGCACACTGGGAACAGGCTCCAGTTGTTCTTCTGCCCATTGATCTCTGACTCCAAAGGCAGTTGATAACTATCAGACGGCCCTGGCCCCATCTCTGCCTCCAATGCAGAGCACTCATCAGAGCCTTCTGCAGACTCCAGGACTGGCCCATGTTCCTCCCCAATGTCCTTACTGTCCGTCTGCCACCAGCTCCACTGGCCGCTGGTGCACCACAACAACTGAAATATTATATACACTAAATTGGACCAAAATTATTTTCATTAAAATTGTACTGTAGTTGCAGTCATTTGATATAATTGTCCCAAATTTGAAAAATTAAATGCCCCAAATTGGGAAAGTGCTTGATAGTTTTGAAAAAAATTATTACAGGTAGTTCTCACTTTGCAACAATTTATTTAGCAATTGTTCAAAGTTACAATGTGGCAGAAAAAAGTGACTTACAACTGGCCATTAAGTTTATGACCATCACAGTGCCCCCATAAAATATGATCTCAATACAGGTGAATGGGAGCTGTTGCACAAATACACTGGTCATCACATTTTCGACCTTCACAGTCAGCTACTGACAAGCAAATTTAAAGTGGAAGTTGGCAGGAAATCACAAGTCATGGTAACATCACTTAACAACCAGATGTGATTTGCTTAATCAATACAACTGTTTGAACTGCAGTTAAGAAAGGTGGTCACAGGATATTTCACCTAACAACTGCTTTGCTTAGCAATTTAATTACTAGTCCCAATTATGGTCATTAAGCAAAGACTAGAGGTATTGCACTTATATGGACTTGTGTAGTATATAACTGTATTAAAGATGTTTGAAATCAAAACTCTTCAAATATTTGCAAAGTTTTATTTAGATCTGACCTTTGGGAAAGGTTGTGACTTGCCACATTTTTTTCCCTTCACTTTGATCAAGGCAAGATCTTAGCCAAAAACTTTAAAACATAACTATTCACCTGCAGATTCCATGTACAATCTACTCTTAATTAAACAAAAGTCCTATATCTAAGTCACAGAATTATTAATGGACAACTGTTGTTATTTTTAATTTATCATGGTAAAATCTAACTCTAGAGCCATGATGCTTCCTTTTCAGTAACAGTAGTAAAATTGTATCTGCATGTTGTAAGTTGGTACTCTTGAAAGTTCAAAAAGAAAGTTGAGGTAGTTGGAATATTCACTAACCAATATCTGATACATAGGGTTGGAAGGGACCTTTGTGGTCTTCTAGTCCATCTCCTACCCAGTGTAGAACCTCATTTTATCATGAACAAATGGGTTACCGATATTTGCTTAACTTCCAGGGATGAAACTTCCAGTTCAGGAGTCAAGGTATTCCACTGCCTAATAGCATTTACAATCAGGAATTTGGCTGTTAAGTATGGGATTGCATAGTGGTTGTGCCCATTCTATTATCTAGCAGCAATTATCAAAAGTTTTTGTGCCCTCTTGCTTCAGTGTGTAGAATAGTTTGAAATGGCTTTGCCTTCATAGCAACTATGACCATGTCAGAGGCAATGTTTAGTCACACCAGACTAAATCTGGTTTTGGAAACATGAGATGTCATCTGATAATTGAGGATACTGACATCTGACTTCTTCCACAGTCAAATCACTTCCCGGTGGAACTGTAGATTGTGCATATCTTGTAGCTTTCAAAGGCAAAATAAACATTTGATTTACTTCAAGCATCTGATAGATCATGGAGCTTTTCAAAAGATGCTTAGGAATTTTCTTGACAATTTAGCAAGCAGTTCTGTCATCAATGATGAAAGATGACCAGTTATGTTGATCCATGATGCCAATTATCAGATTAATCTGTGAAGAAAAAACTGCTGCTTTATCCAGTTTTTATGTTCTATCTGTTCTATGTATTTTTGTAGTTGTTTATGATTAAAGCATTTAATTGACATCTTCAACTGAGCATACAACAACTGATCCATAAAGGCTTCTAAATAAATATGACCTGGGCTTGTGACATGATTGCACCTGTGGAGCCTGTTCCCAGTTTCCAATCCATTGTCCTTAATGCAACTAAAAATTAAAAACAAGTGAAAACAGCCACGCTAGCATAAAATCAAAAGAAATAGTATCTGTCTGTGTTCAAGCTCTTGCAGTGGCACTAAGGGTGCCATGTGTGTTATTTTTCACTCTTACTTCATCTGAATTTCAGGAATATATCCCCTTTTAGAATGATCCAGAGCTTTGGGGGGAAAGTGGGAGGGGCGAGACATCTGCAGACTGTCCAATTAAGTTGAAGGTAAAATCATTTAGATTTCTTCAAATCTGGATACTAACTGGTTAGACCCAGGTGAGAAGCGAGGTAAAATGGGTAATACCTTGCAATGTGATCTGGAATTTATTTGGACTTGAAAAACCTACTGAAAAACTTGGTTTACAGTTCTTAGAGAAACATCAGACACAAAGGGGCCAAGTGAGCTTCTGGAGCACTGTATTCAATATTGGGATTCAAAACCTTAAACTTATTAAGTTTTCATCAAGTTTGTGAGATTATATTGTAAATGTGTTTTATTAATTTTATTCTACCATTTTTAAAATGTTTTAAATACATACCAAACACACTACTTCTGAACAATAAGCTAAAAGAACTACATTAAACAGCTTTCACAATAATTATATTGTATTGTATATTTTTATTTTGGTCCTTTATTGGCTTTGCTGGTTTTATTGGGCTTGCTCTATTCAGGGACCATGGAGAGGAGCTTATTAAGGCACACTATTTTCCAAATTGAGTTCTTTACCCAACTAGATACTAAATACTGCCTGGATAGATTATTCTACCAGAAAAGTATAATTTTAGAAGTTCTTGACTTGACTATAGAGAATTGTTATTCTGCAGATATTTAGCCTACTTATACATTTAATTTAGTAGGAATAAGCAAACATCATAATATGAATATGAAGTAGTATACAGCTGAAGATTGTCTTGATTTTAGAGACCTATTTAGAGATTAGATGAGTCAGATTTCCTTTGATCGCCAATGGCTGGAGAATATTCCTCTGACTCACTGACAGTTACGAAGAACCTGATAAAGCAATAAATTTTCGCTGCTTTAAATATCTGCATGCTAAGCATAATTCATAAATCTATGTATGATTTTCATAATCTTAAGCAATTGGAATGGGAAAATTTAAACCTTCATAAACATTGAACATTAGTAATAAAGCCTTGTCTTTTTTAAATCTTTGTGATCATTCAAAATATGTCTGAAATATTCAAGGCAATGTCCTCAAAGCAAAAATAGAATTATTTTTATAATCCTGGTTTATTTCCAATATAAATGTCTATTTTCAGTATCATTATTTTTTTAAATTAAGTAACATTATCAAAACTAACCACCTTTTGGGTGAAATTTGTTAAAAATACTGTGAAAATTTATGAATTCTGCTGTGTCATTTATAGTAGCAGTGTATTTAAATTCCTTATTTTACAGATTAGAAACAAGACTTGTAACATCTCAAATTCTTTCAAGTATATAAACAAGGACACTTACTATCCTAAATATCCATTCAGTACTATGCATTTATTCAGTGAAATCTGGATTATTTGTTTGCTTTAACAGTAATTCTTGTTTCTCTTAACTAATTTTAGTATTTGAAATATTATCACACTTACCAAGGTATATTATATAGACTAGCCTACAGCAGGTATTTATGTGCTAATTATGAACTCATGCTCAACAGTAATTATTTTTTAGTTTCTGCCTAAAAGGGTAAAACTAAATGAGATCCCTGAAAGGCTTAAGACATTCAGAATCTCTTTCTTTTTAGAACTGGATTTCACCATTTATAAATCAAAAGTTATATTAATTATTAGCTATTTCACTGATATAATGAGTAGATTACTAGGAGACTTTTAATTATTTATATATTTCTGTAACAATCAATTATGTCTATCAAGCTAGCGGCAACTCTGTGCCACTATGGATAGATTTTATCCAGAATCTGTAATGATTATATATACCCATATATGTGTACAATACATTCAGTGTTTTTATTTTATTTTATATTTATATATTTTCTATTATTGTTATTTTACATTTGAATTAAATGGGATTATAAAGCATAAAGTTATAAACATAAAGCAAAATATTTGATCACAGTAGTTTTGTGATAATATCTAATTTTTTTATTTTGTAGGTATCTGAATTATGTGAATTTCTGAATGGGAAAATATCTTTGAATAGACTAGGGTTACCAATATCTGTTAAATTATTTGTAAATAGTGGTGGAATAAAGATGCACCCATTAGAAAATTTACTGGCATTTAAATTAACATTCATTTTGTAATGTTTATTAACCTGTATATTAAATAGCAAACGTTAAAATTTGGAGGACTTAATCCAGCTGTTTTCAAATGGAAAATAATGAGAGGAGGGGAAAAGAGAAACTACTGAATTACTGTAGTTTCAAAGAAAATTGACTGCCTAAATGTTTGTCTCCTCTGCTCATCTCTTCAACTGCTTAGGAACTATATGTAACTAGATAGTTTAATAAAAGATAAGAATTATCCTAGTTTTGGGGAAGAATTCAATGCAAATGAAGGCCAATATACTGAACCATGCTTCTTCTTTCTTGTATATCAGATTTTAAAAATAAAATTTAAAATTATACCTGCATAGAATCTTATCACTTGTTTATTAGAAGTATGGATACTTTTCACACTAAAGTTTGTTTATTGCTTGTTCTTCATTTTTCATGCTTCATATTTCCTAGCCATTAAATGTAAGCATTCTCTAAAGCTAAGAAGTGTTCTTATAGTGCCATCTATTTCATGCTGTTTCTTGTAAACCTTGAATATTTCTCTTCAGATAAGTTGCATTTTTATAAATTGCATCTTACAAATTTAGTATTTGTATATAAATTAGAATTTAGTTGTTTATTTACATCATACTTTTTTGAAAAAACAATTTGAGTGATTTAAAAGCACATTCATTTTATTTCATTTCATTTCATGTTTGAGTTGATTTATTCTTTGTTTTATATTTTTGTTTTTCTTTTCCTTTCTTTTGTTTTAGTTGTATCTGGTAAGTTGAAATTTTATTGGCCATCTTCTAATCACCGTTATTCCTGTGACTGGATCATCTCTTCCCCCTCTTTATCTATACCTTTCCATATCTGCCAACAAATCATCCTCCAACCTTCACTTGTACTACCTGGACAGACCACAAAAGGCACATTCTACATGAAGTGTGGTAATTTTTGTGGCAAGCATCTAAGGTAATGGCTTGCTTACTTTTATTTTACTTTAATTACTGCATTGTTACTTATTTTTATTTATACGTTTGTATATATATATATGTGTGTGTATATATATATATATATATACATACACATACATACACACACACACACACACACACAAAATACACATATTTTTGAATATGCACCAATTCTTAAAAATAATGAAATGTTCCACATATAAAGTAATCATTCTATTTTTCCAGAAATACAGTTTATTCTTCAGATTCTGTTTTTCAATAGATGAAAAATCTTTTGCATTATTTAACTTACAAGCATCATTAAAAGCAATCTAACCAGAATCACTGACTTCAACTGATTAACTATGTTGATTCATTTACTAGTTTATCCAGAAACAAATGAAAACTATTATACCAGGATCAAATTGGTGATAAAAGGTGGTTATTGTGTTGGCTTCTAACATAACTTAAATGTTCACAAATGAATAGTTTCCCATTTCTTTCTAAATGAAGCCACTTTTATCCCTTAGAACTTTCTCATGGTACTCCCAACATTGATTTATTATCTCCTAGAAGCAAGTCTTAAACTATTTCCCATTCATTTGCAATGGCTTTCCAAGGATGCAAGGCTATAGGATTTTCATCCTAATAATTTCTTTATTATAACATGCAAGCTATACAATTTTCAAAACTATTTAACTATATGTATTTAAGTCAATATATAAGTCAATTTAATATATCAATATATTTTTATAAGGAATAGCATTTATTTCAAATTACAATCCTAAATAAAAAAGTTAGAGATTAGCTTAATTGTGATGAGGTTTACATATAAATAAAATTTGTTATATAAAAGCTGAATGAATGAGTAAATTAAAAATATTGAGATAATTCATTCAGCTTCTCAGCATTTGCTATAACAAGTAACGTGTATATATGCATACATTTCATATCACATTTGTCAGATAGTTATGGAATTTTTAAGTTAATATATTATTAAGCACACACTTTGACATTCAACTGAAAGCAGGAAAAATGGCTAAATTAGTCTAATAACAATATAGTCTTTTTGAAAAACATATAAAAGTACTCATATTAATACTTTTTCAATACCATCAAAAATATTCTGAAAATGGCAATGGGTAACAACAGATTCCTTTAATAAACTCAGTGAAAAGATTCAATAGGATATTAAAACAGTCAGGTAAGACAATGAAAAAGTGAACTTTCTTATTGTAGATCCTATAAGAGGAGAATCTATGTTAGCCTGTTGTAGTCAAAAATATGATACAATCACATTGACACAGGAGCTAAACTGTTGGAATTATATGATGCATTTAGAAGACTGAACTATCTACCCAATGACAAATTAGTAAAGTCAGATCAATTCTTAGGAAAGAAATAGAAACAGTACAAAATGTTACAGCAGAACACCCATAGCTCATTCAACTGATGGAAGCTTAACAAAGAAAGATTCAACCTAGAATTAAGGATAAATTTCTGGTCAGTAACAACAATTGATCAGTGCAATGGTTTGCCTACAGAACTAGCAATGCTCCATCACTGGAGGCTTTTAAGAAGATATTGGACAGCCACCTATCTGAAATGGAATAGGTCCTCCTACTTGAGAAGGAATTGGAGTAGAACAGTAGTCCTCTGACCTTTTGAGAACTAAAAGGGAGGTTTTTCCACAGACCGGAAGGGATAAGATTTTGCATGCTACCTGCACCCCACAGATGGGGCTTTGCTTGTTTGCGTAGCCTGGTTGCTGGCATGAGGTCCACAGACGGGGGGGGGGGGATCCCTGGACTAGAAACCTCCAAGGTCTCTTCCAATTCTGTTGCTCTGTGCTCTGTAACTACATTATTAATAAGATACAGCCCATACTGAACATGATACTGTATTTTTTCAGGCATTATCCCCATAGATGGAAATGGACAGCCATCCAATCTGAAGCAGATTTTTAAACAACAATAACATCAAAATCTATTGGAAAAAAAATTCTAATATACAAATGAACCCTGCAACAAACACAACCTCCATGTACTTTTCCCCATAATTATATCAACAGTACAATCAGAGGTTCCACCAACTGCACCTACAGGATTAGACACACTTTTACATATTTTTTTCATGAGTACATGATTACATATAATGCATGTACAGATTCTGTAATACATGCCTTCATTTGCCAGCAATGTTCTTATGCCCTCTGTAACAGACAAACAGGACAATCTTTGCATAAATATTAACAGACATAGTTTTCTATGTCCCAAGATATTTTATTATAGACTTCAAGGTAGACAGTTTGGAGAAAGCAAATTGTAATAACACAATTGAGCAAGAGATTACTAAATTCACATTAAAGAGAGAGAGAAACAGAAACGGAGAGAGAGACAGAAACAGAGAGAGAGACAGAAACAGAGAGGGAGGGAGGGAGAGAGGAGAGCCTCATCACTATTATTGTTTTAGTATTTATAATCTGTTTCATATACAACTTTTATCTGCAAAACCAGTCTGTCTCTCCCTTCTTCCCCACCTTATCCCAATTTAAATTCTGCATTAGTTGAGCTACTCTGTATTGCAGAAAAAATGAGCTATAACTCACAGAAGTTTACCCTTTTAATAAAATGATTTTGTTAGATTAATTTTTGAAAAATTAGAAAAGTTTTTGCTTTTCTCATAATTTGAAGGAGAAAAATCTGCATTTTTTTTTGACCTTTGCTTAGAGAAACAAAACAAATCTACCATAATACATAAAATGATACGACACAAACTGGAGAAGTTGGAACTAATATGAAGTTCTCTATCAAAAGCTTTCTTGGAAAAAAATTGTGTAAAACTGCAGATTATAAGGACAAAATGTAAGAAGAGCTACAGGCAGACTAGCAGTAGTAGTTCTGAATTAAAACTCTCAAATTTTAGGAGAAAAATCAATCACACTACAGCTAAAAATAGGAGGTGGGTTTCAAATTGCTATATGTTTTTAAATATAATCTGGATAATCATCTGTAAAGATTAGTTTAATTTCTTTCATTGAGTAGGCATTCAACCATGTTATTCAATTCTATTACATTAAAGTCCTTTAAATCAGACATTACACAAAACCAGAAGTAGCTTCTTATTTGTACCAAGTTAGGCTTTTTATATCTTATGGGATCTTACTGTAATATTGACATAACCTTGAGGAGTTTTTTGGTAATATCTTGTTGGTGATCTAACATATTTCTAAACTCCTGATTGAAATCAGATCTTTAAATATAGTGGTGTGATATTTTTATATGTACACATATACACGTACGCACACACACAGACGATCTGCCTTAATACAAGGTTCAGAATACAAACCTACCATTTAAAAAAATAATAAAATGGAAGTTTTGTAAGAAAAGTAGAGCAGGTAGTTGACTAGATAGTTGGTTAGTTTTTGAATTGCTCCTTTGAAATATGTTTCTATTTCTTAAAAATCATTAATAAAATGATAGTCAATAGCTTACTTTCACTTGTGGATCACATTATAGTTTAACTGATGTTAATGAATCTTGAAAAACTCTGTATATCACATAAAATGATGTAACTATGTTTTAAATTGTTTTAGCTGTTTTCCTGTTCTTTGACATTTGTATTTGTATGCGGTTAGGAAAAATTGTTGACTAATTTAAAAAATAATAAGTTCTCTTAAAATTCTAAAAAACCAAATAATGTTGATATGTCACTGTAAAATATTACTATGTGTGACATTTTTGAAAGACTAAGGACTATTTCAAGTTGGCTTAGACTTCTATTGGCTTCTGTGATACATTTGTGTAGATTATTGGCAGCAATACAGAATATAGACATAACAGATTTCTTCCAAGATGTTTGTTTTGCTTTTTATTGTTCATATGAACTTTAACCCTGATTTTACCAGGTACCAATCTGACCCTGCTTACTTTCCAAACCCAGTTATAATCACTATTTTGCCACCTTTGGAGTCCTTCATGTATCATTCTAAATGCTTGATGTTCATATGCATGACACTTGATTGAATGTAATGGCACTTCCCATACTTTGCCATATTTGGAATAATTTCAAGAGAATCCAGGAGATGCATGATGAAATTTGTTCTATCAGTCTTCTTATAATTATTATCATTCTTCTTATTCTCATTGTCATTATTTCTATTATTCTTGCTTAAATTTATTATATCTGTCCACTCCCCAAAACTCTGAGTGACCAAGATGATCAAAATACACCATTAAAGCAATTAAAACCTAACAACAAAACTTAACAGCCCAGACTAAAGAGCATCCAAATGGACAAAGAAAGAAAAACCCAGGAGCTTCATAAATACACTAATCCCAAGATCAGACCTAAGTTTAAGGCCTTGGGTGCCATACATAATTCTGGAGTATGGTCTTCTAGTGGAACACAATGTTGATGTAATTCTCAATAGACAAAGAAGGGAGAGAGTCGAAGCATTTCTTTCAGATGGAAAAAACAGTTTTAACTTTTTTTTCTTTCCTTTTTGTTTCCCTTTATTTCATTTTGATACTATTCACTCTTTCTCTCTGTCTCTCTCTCTTTCTGCACATGTTATTTTTAAAAGGCTGCTTTTTATTTATTTTTTTCTCTATTCCAGGTCAGTTACATTAATATACTTAACTGCCATAACTTAATGAAACCAACATAATTTTTGACATTTTGTTTACCATTCCACGTAGTGACCATTTGTATAAATAAAACAGTTTGGACAATACTGGCAGTATTTATAATATGAAGATGAACAGATGTTTCAGATTTGCTTAATTTATATGCAAGTTTTGTTTGAAGATGTTGACTAAGTAAATCAACAATTTAGTCTGTTTCACTATAGCTTTAATTTCATTCCTTTTCACTAATTGCACACACCCTCACCCTCACACAAATTAAATGACTACAATTTATATAGCAGCATTTCTAAGTCTTTGAGTTAAATTCAAAAATAGTTGGTATCCATTTCTACATCAAAATCAAATCTATTTTTAAAAGCTTTTTAATTGATAGAAATTCTCTGTGTCCTTTGGCAAAAAAAACTAATAGGAAACATTTTTGGGAGTCAGCATAAAGGCTATAATTTTATAAGCTAGCAAGCAAGAATATGTTAGTTTTAGCTATCCTTTGTTATTGAACCATTATTGAAATGGAACACAGTCTTCATCATAAAAAGAAAAGTCATTAGAAGTTAACCTGCAAGATATAAGGCAGCCTTCTTTTTAAATGTCTAACCTATTTTATTGTTTATTTCCATTAAAGTTTTATTAATGCTCTACAATGCTGAAGCCCTCCCACACCCACTAGTTTTGTAACTAGAGATTTGTGTATGTTTGGATTTCATTTATTAAGCTCCATTAAATTTTCAGCTGCTTTTCTTATTGAGGATAGCAGCAATTCTTTAAACTAACATGGCTAGATGGGGGTGGGAAAGAAGAAGAGTTATCTTCTTTCTTAAACATTTAACAAAGCAGGCAATTAAAGACATACATACAACAGAGGCAAAATAGAAATAGCCAAGCTGCCTGTGTTGTATGTCATTTTTTACTTGCTTTGTTTCTGATAAAATAACTCTTGAGCATGGCCTAGCAACAACAGACTAGAACAATATATGTTCAAATTGTATATTTCAGTTTCCACATGGAACTTTAATGTAATTTCTGAAACAGCTAACAATTAATTAAACCATGTTAGTAATGGATAATTGTGATTTGACTTCATTTCTCCCTCAGAGCCACCACATTTTATTGTTAAACCTCGAGATCAAGTGGCTACATTAGGTAGAACTATCACTTTCCAGTGTGAAGCAACTGGGAACCCTCAACCAGCAATATTTTGGCGAAGAGAAGGAAGCCAGGTAAAATAAACTGCAATTACATAATGTAAATTATTAATGAAGAAAAGTATGAACCCAATTGCAATATGAAATCAATCTTATGATTGAATCCGTATTAAAGAGGAAATAAATCTGTAGATTCCTGAGCAATCTACATAAAAAATGGTTGATGATTCAGCAAAGAAATATTCATTTACTATTAGAAAACAGTCTCACTATTCTCTTTCAACAGTGCAATAGTTTTAGTACAACATAATTGAAAATGGAAGAAGAATTCTGATTATAGACATACAATCCTATTTTTTCCTGTATTTCTGTATGGACATTGTATATTTTGGGATGCAAAAATAATAAATGTCTTGCTATATCAGCAAGCTAACTTGTTCATTTTTCTAAAGCAACCAAAGAAAAGTTGTTTCCTTTCCACTTGTCTTTAGCATCAATTATTCAGATTCTTGAATATAATACACTCATCATACATATATACCCATCTCTTCTATCAATTTGTCTAAAAAGAAAAAAAAAGAATTTATATGTAAATGTGATACAGAGTCTCCCGGTCCTTAGTAGTGCCACAAAATTTCATACCAGAAGTTTCAGCTCTGTATATGAATTTTCTTAAGAAAAGACAAGTTTCTCTGAAGTCAAGTGGACCCCTGGTGACTACAGGACATACAGACTTGGCAATAGTGCAATCATAGATTTTCTGTCACTTTCTTTTGGGATGTTTTATCAACTTTCCAATATAGCCTATAGCCCTGGTATTTCCTGTTGACTTACTTTATTTTCAAGATCAGCCAAGGTTAATGAACCTTACCGTATTTGTGTCTACTAATATATCCAATACCTGAAATTTTTATACTATACTAATATATTCAATACCTGCAATTTTTATACTAATTTTTATATTTTATATTGTAGAATTTACTGTTCTCGTACCAACCTCCTCAGTCTTCCAACCGGTTTTCAGTCTCTCAGACCGGTGATCTTACCATTACAAATGTCCAGAGATCTGATGTTGGATATTATATCTGCCAGACTTTAAATGTTGCAGGCAGCATCACAACAAAAGCATACTTGGAGGTAACTGATGGTAAGTTTATGTTTAATTGTTAATAATGTAGCAATAGTTTGGGAGTAAATGTTGATAATTCTCCATGTTTATGATTTGTCTGCTAAATAATTTATTTGCAAATCTGGAAATCAACAGCTTTAAAACTTTTGGCCTAATTAATTATTTTTGTTTATCCACCAAATAGATTCAAAGAAGTTATATCAATTTCATGCACATAGCATGTCGTTTCAATTACAATATAATATTTTGTTATACTATGTAAACAAATAAGAATTGTATGTATGTTTTCAGTTCTTTATCTAAAATAGAAAAAGTTACAAATTATTCATGCTTAGTTTTAGAGTGTAAAATATGCTTTTATATTATTATAATAAACTAACATAAATATTATTACTATTATTTTAATAGTAGTAAAAGTTAATGATGATTTGGTATCAGATAATGTTTCATTATATTTTAATCCCAAAGTAATTTTATTTTATGTATTTATTTATATTTCATATTTCTTAACCACCCATCTCCCTTGGAGTTTTGCTGTTGCTTAAATAATTTCAAACGTGCTTCCACTTGTGAACTAATTTCTTCTTTTTCTTCTCCCAGTGATTGTAGACCGACCTCCCCCTGTCATTCGTCAGGGTCCTGTCAATCAAACTGTAGCTGTAGATGGTACTTTAATTCTCAACTGTATAGCTACAGGCACTGTCATGCCCATAATTCTCTGGAGGAAAGATGGCATCCTTATCTCTACTCAGGATTCTCGAATCAAGCAACTGGAATCTGGGGCACTACAGATTCGATATGCAAAGGTAGCTTAAAAGTTTGTTTTTTTTTAAAGTAAAATATGTTTTACTTTTCCTTGGAATTTGGCTTGAGATTTTAAACGCTGCTCTCTGTGATTTTAAAATGTATGAATAGTTATATAACTATATTCTATCACCGTAGTTTCATCTGCACTCTCATTCTTTGTTCAGTTTGTAATGTGTTCTTTATAGGAGTGCCTTTTTATGAGTGCCTCCTTTATATGAGTGCCTTTTCTCTCTCTCTCTCTCTCTCTCTCTCTCTCTCTCTATCTATCTATCTATCTATATCTATATATATATATATATATATATAAAATGTTTATTTTAACTCTTATTCATTAGCTAGCACATAAATCTGAAGAAAGTCAATGTGGTATATTGATTAATGTAGTAGACTAGGACAGGAAAGATCCTGGGTTCAGCTCTTATTATTTCAAAAACTTGTTTAATTTTCAGCTGGGTGATTCTGGTCGATACACATGTATTGCCTCAACCTCAAGTGGTGAAGCATCATGGAGTGCTTACATTGAAGTTCAAGGTAAATTAATCAGGATTCATGAGAACAGAAAAGAACTTTAAATATAAGCTAATAATTTATGTATAATAAGAACAATACATTGATGTGACCACAATAGATTCTCGGTTAAGCTCTTAGTAATAAATGCTTTCATTTTCTAGAATTTGGCATTCCAGTGCAGCCACCACGACCTACTGACCCTAATTTGATTCCTAGTGCACCATCAAAACCTGAAATTACTGATGTCAGAAGAAATACAGTAACCCTCTCATGGAAACCTAATTTGAATTCAGGTGCAACTCCAACCTCTTATATTATAGATGCCTTCAGGTATTATGCCTTTCATGTGTTCCAGTTGTGTTTCTTTTAAGACTGTTAAATCAGAGGCATGCATCAACCTGTTTGGTTTATATATTCTGTCTTCTTAGCCATGCAGCTGGTAGCAGCTGGCAAACTGTAGCAGAAAATGTGAAAACAGAAACATTTGCAGTAAAAGGACTGAAACCAAATGCCATTTATCTGTTCCTCATTCGTGCAGCCAATGCATATGGAATTAGTGATCCCAGTCAGATATCTGACCCAGTGAAAACCCAAGGTAAAATTTGTCTGTGTTTGTAAAATACGTATAGTTATTATATAATTATACTGGGGGATTGATAAAGAAATCATATGACTCAATTTTAATCAATTAGTACAATTTGGAGAAACCTTAGTAAAGCTTTATTTTATCCTCATAGATAAAAAAAATGCAAGTCAAAAATGTACGTTTTTTCTCTTTGAAGAAACTATGAAGATAGAACAACTTGTGAAGCACTAACACATAATACATGTTGATAAAAGTAAAACAAGGATTGTATAAGTACATTTGTCAAGGTAATATGAGGCAATACAGTGCAGTATAATCCAAGTAATAGATACAATGTAAGAAATATCTCTATGTGACATCAAACACATTAGGACAGCTCCAGTACTACCTCCTTTGATTTATATTGCCTGTCTAATGATTTACATATCTGTATATTCCTATATTTGAAAGCACACATAGCTCTATTCAGAATATCTTGTATAGGGCAGCGGTCATCAACTGGTGGGCCGCAGCCCATTGGTGGGCCTTGAGAAACTTTTGGTGGACCTCAGAGAAATCTCAGCCCCAGAGCACCCCCAAAGCAATTAATCCAGGCTATGCAGAAACACAAGGCTGCACCGCCCACATGGTCCACAGGAACGCTCCCCACCCACTCACTCTTTACCCGGCAAACTTGCCTGATAAAATTGCTATTTTTCCTTTTTCAAACCATCATCTGTTCTGCTGTGCCAGGAGATTTAGATTAGCTAGGAAGCATGAAATGGTTGGATTTCTTGCTTTCTAGCTAGTCTTTATCTCTTCGGCTCTGCCGAACCTCCCTTAGGACTGAAGGTTTGCTTGCAAGCAAATTCAGTGCAGACTCATGGCAAGCAAATTTGAGAGACTGAGCTAGCCGATGGCAGATAGATCACTGAATGATTCTGTGAGCAACTCAATCTGCCTGCTTTGCCTGATTTTGGGTAAAAGTTACTCTTTTTTAAAAATAAAAAGTGCAATGTTTACATGCATGGTGTGTTGCATGCATGGTTATTTTTAAATTTTTGCCATAGTTTCTTAAATAAATTTAGGTTTTTGAGTGTTAAATTGGAAGTAAAAATTATGTGATAACACCATGACTGAGTTTTAAAGGAACTGAGATTATAATTAATGGAACTTTGTATGAATAGTTTAAAAGAAAATTCTGTATTGGTTTTTCCTGCTTTGTTTATTGATAGTGAAGTTTTAATTTATTGAAATATTTGGGAATTTTCAATTTTAATATTTTTTAATTTTTAATAATTTTAATAGACATAATAGAAAAACATTTAAATACTATGGAATTAGAAGATTATTCATATGGTCTGATAACATATACGTTGCATGCTTATATATCTTATGCTTTTTTGAACATTTCATGCATTTCAAATATTCCATTGTTTGCTTATTTAGTAGTTTAGTATTAGAGTCAAATCAACCCCTGTTACTTACTTAAATCATATTAAACTGTTGTGATCTAAGTAGTATGATCCTTCTTCTTTGTTGGATACTTCTAAAGCATTTGTTCTAACTATGTACAATGTAGTCTGCTCTTTGTTTTGTTCCCCCTTCTTTTCATTTCCTTTCTAATTTAATTTTGATTTTAATTCTTATTATCTGTTAGAAATGAAAATGAATGTAATTTAACAAAATCAATTTAAAATACATTATTAGGTAAAAATTCTCCTACTAGTACATGCAATTTTGTTTTTCAACACTTTTTCCTATATGTCTGATAATTTGTTAAAATTGTTGCAGATGTTCCACCAACAAATCAGGGTGTGGATCACAAACAAGTACAAAGAGAGCTGGGTGACGTTGTCCTACATCTCCATAATCCAACAATTCTTTCTTCTTCTTCTATTGAAGTTCACTGGACAGTAAGTATAATAACAGCAACAACATGGAGGGGCCAATAGAAAGCCAGTTGTCAAAGAATACCAAAATGCAATGATGCATTGCTGATACTTCCCTCTTTATTACTTTAATGTGAAGTACAGTTGAGTATTCTTAATAATTTTGAAATAATATTTAATGAACTTTGGTTAGGGTTAGAGCTTGGCAGAAAAATCAGAAGTAAAAGGGTAAAAGTTAAAATTAATCCACCACAGGGATGGAATAATTATTTTTATATTCCACTGGTAATCTATTCTTTTTTGCCCATTTGATTCAATGCTATATACTGAAAGCACATTTGCATTTTAGACTGTGTCTTTATCACCACTAATTATAAAAACATTGTTTCTGTTGTGTAGTACTTTTGTGTTCTTTGTAGTTAGAATTAAAAGTAATTTGAATTATTACTTTGCAGTGTCAGGGTTTTATTATTTCTGGAAAATTGTTTAAACTAAGAAATATTGACTTGATTATAGTTATCCAAAGAATGGCTCTGGATTTATAAAAGCAAAATCTGCTTCAAGTCACATTAACTCATAATGACTTCTTGGAAATAATACATAAGTAGCTGCCATCACTCTTCTGTTTTTCAATTTCCCAGGGAGGCTGTATACCTGGGATTCATTGAAAGAATCCCACTTCAGAACCTGCTTAGCTTACAAGATCATCCAAGTGTTGTCATTTGCTAAATTCTACATTTATATGAGAAAGCAACTTCTCTTTAAATTCTGTTCTGAATCTACTAATGAGGTCCACTAGTAGAAAAACTAAAATGAATGCCTGGCTTTCTGAAATTATTGTAGAGTCCTATTACATTCTGACATTATTTAATCAGATTTGTGTGTGCTCCTTTGACTTGCAAGGTATTTTAATCATCTTGAAAGCTGGTGAAGAATATTCACACTTACACACTATATTTAAAATGTAACTATGAGAAATTAAATATATAATGTTTGATGACATGATGTTGCATATTATATATATATATATATATATATATTTGTTTATTTGTTTATTTATTAATTAATATGGGTGTTTTGTCTTTAATGTTAGGTTGACCAACAATCCCAATATATTCAGGGATATAAAATTTTGTATAGACCAACAGCTTCATCTCAAGGGGAATCTGAATGGCTGATTTTTGATGTGAGGACACCAACAAAAAACAGCATTGTAATTCCTGAACTCAAAAAAGGAGTGAACTATGAAATTAAGGCTCGGCCTTTTTTTAATGAGTTTCAAGGTGCTGATAGTGAAATGAAATTTGCCAAAACTTTGGAAGAAGGCAAGTAGTAGCATAACTGCCTTAGTTTTTTTAAGTATTTCTAACTCAGGTTCATTATGAAGTTTATTTTTTCATCTTTCTCCTTATATTGATGATAAGTATCAACTGCTAAATAGTCCTGCATTTCTTTTTGCTATATCTTGAGTTAAGTTCAAAGGCCCATTTCAAACTTTTTCAATGAAGACACAAATGACCAGTATGTATATGATGAATAATAATGGATATTTACTCATGTGTGTGTGTGTGTGAGTGTGTGTGTGTGTGTAATTTGTAATGGCAGTTAATTGTGGAAGCTTCAGAAGTTGGTTTTAGCAAATGAGTTTTCAAATATTTCCCTTATTTATCAATAAGGGAAATTGAGGGTGATTAATTATTTTTTTCATTTTAAGCATTCAATTATGCAACAATTTGGACCTCATCATATTTGGTTCAGTTTACAAAAAGACATATCAGAAAAATACAAACATAATATTTTTTTAAAAAAAAAACGATCTTCCTTCCTTCCCTTCCTCCTGTCCCTCACTTGATGTTGCAAGATAGGTTTTGGGATTTTTTTACTTAAATGTAGCTTCTTAAATGACATGTTTAGTGATAGTAAAAGTACCGTTATGATCATAAATATGCTTTCTTCCAAAACCAGCTCCAAGTGCTCCTCCACAAAGTGTTTCAGTCACCAAGAATGATGGAAATGGCACTGCAATTGTAGTAACTTGGCAGCCTCCCCCAGAGGACACACAAAATGGAATGGTTCAGGAATACAAGGTGATATATAGTTGTAACTTGGCAAATTATTGGGAATTATTATATAGAATTTTTTGTGGTTACTTAGCTCCATCTGGTGGTAAAAGTCAACATATAGTAGAGTAATATAAGAATTTCAATATCCAATATATTTACAATGTTTTTAATGTTAAAAGAATATTAATGATGATACTATATAGTAACAAATTGTATATATTTGTTGCTTAGAATCACTGCTATAAGTAAAAAGATATTGAAATAAAAGACAGTGAATGCTGAAAAATTAGCTATGTAAAACCAAATTCAAATAAATATTTCTGGGTTAAAATATACCTTTAATTAAACTTGCAATTTTGTATTTGAAATATAATACTAAATAATTTTGTATAGGTTTTTTTTTCCAAGAAAAAAAGTCTAAATTTAGTTCTAAATTATATAGCAGAATTAGGGTAGGGCTGAATATTTAACATTTCATGCTATTGAGAATATAGATTTGATATTTCATTATATCAAATTCAGTTGTGAATTGCCCTACAGTTAAAACAATACTGTTAAAGTGGCCATTAATGTCAGTGAAAAATTTAAAGTATGATTTTAAAGTGCTTAACTTTTAATTTTAATTTCCCAAGTACCGCTTTTGAAGAATGAAGATTTTAGAAACTATCAATTGTGAAAGAATTTTTTAAGTTATATTCCATGTATTTAAAGGAGAAATTAATGGGTGTGTCTTGTGACTGATTAATTAGATCAGGTTAGAATCCAAGTTTAGCTCTTGGAAAACATACGCAATACATAACGACAATTTCAATCAGCTTTTTAAAAAGTATTCTTCAGTACAATTTGCAATTTTACTTGTAACACGTCTATAATCATCTAGTAAATTAAATATCCAGAGAATTTATCTTTCTTATAAAAGTCCATGTAATCAAATTGTATTTATGTTAGATGACTTTCAATATAGTGAACTTTATTTTGTATTTAATTCTTTTGTTTTTAAGTTTTATAAGTTCTAAACAATATAATAGGAATTATTTATTTCATGTGCTTTTGTTTGGCATTTCTCCAGCTTTTAAAATAATAGTGATCCTAAAGTATTAACATTCCAGGATGTCTACCTAGCTGAAGACATCCTGCTTTGGCTAACTTTTTCTAAGTTCAGACACGGGCTCAGCCTTAGTATTTAAATGATTAATATGTAGGCAACATTAATTGGGGCTGTAGGTAGATTGCAAGATGGCAAAGCATCCCTGGATAAAACAATAAAAATTACTTCTTTATTGTTGCCAAGAGAATCCACAAGTGTCAAGTTGAGGACATATGTGTATCAATACCTTTATATTTCAAGCCCAATCAGCTGACAGTTCTTAGACAAAGTTGGCTAATCTTAAAAATTAGAGTAAAGTTGTAGTCCTGTTAGTATTTAAATGGAATAATACCAGAAAATCTCAAGACAATAAGTTAATTTGGGAAGTTGTGGGAAAGCATCCCTTTAGAAGACAGTGGAAAACTACTTTTGTATTGGGCCAAAAAAATCAAAGAAATTACCAGGTGTTTAGTTCCATCCATAGGCACTTAATGTTTTACACTACTCCTATTTTTATTAATAGATCACTATTAACAATTCTTAGTATTGTTGATTATGTTCCATTGAAATGGTGGAGATGTCTAAATATTCTAATCTTACAAAAATAATTCAGTAATATTTGTTCACAGTATATAGATGCAGTGGACAAAATTTTACTTCAGACTTCATTTCCAAATAGCATAAAATGTGTTGTCTCTAAAGCAGGCTGAACAACTAAATTTATATTATTTGCAGTTATGCAGATGAACAATTAATATACAACTGAAATATTCATTATGAAATATACATATCAGTTTATCAATTGCACAAATTTGAATTTAATAGACAGCTGGTTTTCAAATTGTCCATTCAATCAGTATTTTATTATATTTTTATGGTGATCCTTTTGTAAATAATTTCTAAAAAGAGATTATAACTTACTGATGCAAATAACACATATTTTGATAACATGTTTGTTTTGCACTTTGTTTCAATTTTTACAGATATAATTCTTCCGTAAATATCAAGTGATCAAGTGTTCTAATATGAAGACATTCTAGGAAAGCATGTGCTGTTTTATTTCATTTCTGGACTACTGACGTTTGCTCCAATAATACTTACACTAGAGAAACCATGCATTTTTTAAAATTAACCAGTTATTCTATTCTTATTTTAGTGTTATTTATATCAATTTGTTAGCAGCCTTTACAAATGTGTATTAACATAAATTCATCTTTATAATGTAAAGCAGAAAATACCATATAGTACATTTGGTTCCATGAGGAAAAATATTTTTTTATTCCTTCTAGGTTTGGTGCCTTGGAAATGAAAGTCGATACCATATAAATAAGACAGTGGACGGTTCTACATTTTCTCTAATAATACCATCTCTAATTCCTGGTATTAGATATAGTGTTGAGGTAGCAGCAAGTACTGGAGCTGGAACTGGAGTAAAGAGTGAACCACAATTTATTCAATTAGGTGAGCCATTTTTAATGCTTTCTTGAACATGTAGTTTTTTTATATCATATAATGAAGACTGGCATGTTCTCTTTTGTCTGTAGAGAATAAGGAATAAACATAACTTGCTTTTGATAAAGAATCTGTTTTTCTTTGTTTTATTACTGTGTCATAGATGCTTTTCAACACATAAGTTATATAGCTATTAACATATTAACTGCTGTCATTATTTACTGATGAACTTCAAAACAGTATGTCTTCTTTGAATACGAAGGACTGCCTTTCTATTGAAAGTTACAAGCTTTGACTTGCTATCTCATTGTTATTATAGTGTCATCAAATTTATTCATTTATTTATGAATTGATAAATCTAATAAACTACTCTAGTCATCCAATTCTAAGTAGTGCAATTGTAGCTAATACAAAAATAAAAACATTAAAATACAATAAAACAAATTCAGTGTATAATTACAGGTAAAATTATAATATAAACATACTTATAATATATTTGTCACTAGAAGCTTTACAACAGTCAAGACCTTCCAGAACTGCTAGGAAGCAAGTTGTTCCAGTGTACATCAGTCCAGCAGAGAAGGCAGAGTTTTCACTATAGTGATCTCGGTAGGCATGGCCCTTCAGCAAACATTCTGGTTGTCTTCACTTTAGGTCAGCAGAACTAATAAAGAATAACCAGACTGATTAATATCCAGCCCCTGAGTCATACAGGCTTTTTTATGTAAAGACCAGCTCCTTGCATTGTCCCCGAATCATACCAGTAGCTAGTGGTAATAATAAGGCAGTCCAGCAAGTATATGCTCTGATTTTATCTGTGGTTCCAAAGTCTAAAGTATCATACCACATGGAAACTATAAGTAGGCCATAGTCTAAGGAAACAGGTTACAATTTCAGTTTTTCTTATAAAGCTCCCATCAACAGCCTAGGTTTATCTGGCACTCTTAGTGGTGGTTATTATCATGGAGAATGTTTCTCACCGAGTACTACTCTACCATTCAATCCTTTAGTCCTTAGAAGTAGCTGTATTGGTTGTCTTGATTAGACCTGAGATGTTATGTGAAATTGTTTTGTTTCAATCTTGGATTCCCATGCTTGAGGTAGTTTTCTTTTTTCCCCCTTTTTTAAGTTCTTTGCCTATTTTCTAACTAAAATGGCCCTTTAAAATGCTACCAAATTGTTGAGGAGCAAACAGAAAGTGTTTTCATTATTGGGTGAACATAGCCTTTCAAACTAGAAATAGAAACATTATGTTTTGGTATAAAGGAGATTATTGTTTTTGCCAAAATAAAAGTCAGTACCCTTCCATGGTAGGTTCCGTGCTGAATTACATACACGCATGCACTATATTAAAAATAGATGAAACATCAAATAACTAATTGTTAATTAATTTCTTATAGCTCTACTGGAATTGTTCAGAAGACAGCCTTTGAGGCACATCATTTTTCTAGTACAAGAAAGTCATAAAACAATTAACCTATGTGCATTTATTAGAAGCTTCACTCAAATAATTATACATTTTAAGTATATGCTTCATGGCTTAAACATCCCTAATGTAATGAATGTTACTGCTGTAACAGCTCCCATTATGAACTGTATTTTGTGAACTAATTAAAATTGCTTTTGTGATAATATGCCAGCAAATGCAAATAACTCTACTCTCTGATGTTTTTTTGTGTTAAGCTGTAACCCCTACAGTGGACTGAATAAAGCCTCACTAATGCTGTTAGAGTTTGTCTGTGTGTGTGTGTGTGTGTTTGTGCATAATTTTGAATATTTTATATTTACATTTGCTTTAATGTTTTAAAATGTCTAAGAAAAATGTGCCCAAGCCTTTGTTCAAACATGACATCTACATGTCATTCATCTGAAAAGGTTTGCAAAGTCAAATACATTTATCTTGTTGTCATAATAAATTTACAAACTAAAGAATGTGCATTTTAATTGGCTAAAGTTAGTTACTTTTTTATTCGGTAAGGTTCAGTCTTTGCTTGATCAGAGAATAAATGTTAAATTTGAAAACTTTAAATTTAAATATTTAAAACTTTGGATAGATGCAGTAGAAGTATTATACAGATTAATGTTTCATTTATTAAAAAATTTATAAGGAAAACCCGAGAATTGGGTTGTGAGTTTGTATCCTTAAGAAGCTACTATTGTAATGTTGTGCTCATAGCACAGGAAACTATGCAAATATCTGTAGTGTAAGCTGAATATTATTATGATTATGTTCATTAGTTCACTATTATGTGCCAGTAGAGCTAAAGATCTTCAAGGAGAGTTTTTTGTGCTTTGACCAGGGGTGGGATTCTACCGGTGGGATTGATTCTATAGAACTGGTTGTTACGATTCTGTGCAATTTGGAGAACTGGCAAATCATGCCTCTGGCTGGCCCCACCCTTCTCCCCGTCCCCACCCACCCAGTCCTTATCATGCATGTGCAACATTGCAGGCATGCCTGACATAGCTAACTGTGTTCTCCCCTTCCCAGTTACTCCTTAAGGTATTTCATTTTTTTCCCCTCCAAACAATCAGCTGTTCCTATGATCAGCTGTGCCGAGTTTCCCCTCGTTGTCTTACTGCTTCACTAGGAGGCTTCCCTGAGGCCCAAGAAGGCAAAAAATGGGGAGTGCAGCTCCCCCCACCCCTACCCTCCATTTTTTGACTTCCTGGCCCCCAGGGAAACTTCCTGGGAGCAAAAATGCCCCCCAGGGGGCTTCCCTGAGGCCCAGAAAGCCCCAAAGTGGAGCATGAGGATGCTGTGTGCTCCCAGGCTCGGTTTTTTGCCTTCCTGGGCCTTCCCCCCACCCCTACCCTCCATTTTTTGCCTTCCTGGGCCTTCTGAGAGCAAAAACGCCCCCCTAGGAGGCTTCCCTGAGGCCCAGAAGGCCCCAAAAATGGGGAGTTGCTGCCAAAAAAGCCACGCCCACCCAGTCACAGGACCAGGCCCATGTAGCCATGCCCACAGAATCAGTTGTTTAAAAATTTGAACCTCACCCCTGGCTTTGGCATACTTGAGACACTTACTGCAGTAACTGTGCATGTAGAATGTTGGTTTGGTATGTCGTTTTATTTTGTTTTATAACATTTTCCTTTTTTATATGACTAGTTGGTTTTTATAATAAATTAATAGTAATATAACATGGAAATATATATTTCACTGGAAAATGTTTTTGAAGATATTAAGTGAAATAAAATTTAAAAATTGAAGGTATTATATACTCCATGATTATAATCATGTATAATGAATGGTTCAGTTAATAAGTTGAAAGGTTACAATAATAACGTATGATAATGGTGAAATACTTTTTTATTTAATGAATATTATATGGATAAGGCATATATTATAAGATTTATACATATTTATAAGAAAACATTGATGTGTGTGAGTGCGTGTGTATATATATGTGGTTTACACAAAATGGCAGATTCACTTTGCCACAGCATAACAGCTTTATTAACGTGTTTTCCTGTGAGCTGAGATAGCTAATCAAAAATTATTAGAAATTGTAGAAGCTGTAGCTTTTATATCTATAGGGAATCAAATTGGGAAAAACTATTTTAATTGCTTGTTTCCATATAGCTGCTTGAATTAACCACATTCTAAATTCTAAAACAATAGAAGACATACAATTAATTACAAATATTATAGTAATGCATAGAAAGAACGACTACTTTTTGAAGTTTCAGTTTATGCAACATCAAAATGTGTTTTTTTTTTAAAAAAAAATTATTTATTTATTTAAGAACATTTGTATGGCTGCCCTCTCATATTAAGCAGCTTTGCAATGTATAATATGATATAAAATGCCTTGTCACCATTACGGCTTCAAAATTATATCATATACATTATATAAAATTAAAAAAATCATACATAAATAAATTATAGAAAAGTTTGTCAGCTGCTTATTTATCACAAAGTTTGTTATTAAGCTTTTGCAGTATACATCTTTCTCTGTGTTTATGAAATTTTTATTTTAGTAAAAATATTAATGTTTGTATCAACACAAAAATGTTTTAGTAATATGGCAGCACTCCAAATGTAATCATAGTTTTCTAACTTGTATTAGTTTGTTTGCCATTTTATTAAATATATCATAGAGAAAATAATGAATAACTACAATATTGTGCATTTCTTATAAGTAACATTATTTTATTTCTAGAAGCAAATTTGCAATATTGTAAACTTCCTTTTTCAGATTCCCATGGAAACCCTGTGTCACCTGAAGACCAAGTCAGTTTAGCTCAGCAGATTTCAGATGTTGTAAAACAGCCAGCATTCATTGCTGGAATTGGTGCTGCTTGCTGGATTATCCTTATGGTTTTCAGTATTTGGTTATATCGCCACCGAAAAAAACGAAATGGTCTTGCCAGTTCTTATGCTGGTATCAGAAAAGGTATTTTGCTGAAGATTTTATAAATATAATTGATTTATCCCCATCCCTAAAATCTAGAAATTATTTAAATGAACATTAACAACTTTTCTGAGATCTTTAGTATTTAAAATGTGTCATAACTTCTATTTTAAACAAAGGCTGAATTGAACACATTTTGGGACCATTTTCAGGGCTGCCATATTATTGATTTCTTAGATTATGGCTTTTTTCTAAGGCAGAGATATATTTATTATTATCAAGAATTCTATTTTACTATTTATATTACTAGTATATTAATTTGAACAGCATTTTTTCACTGCTTCAGCACTCAGAGAAAATGTGGTTAGCCCCAGTGGAGTGTGATACCACTATGTTCCTATACTATGCAGCATTTTCTTCAACGTATATCTCCAAGTACCTTACAATAGAAGCTTCATATAGGTTACACTATATTGTATGTATGAATATCAACTTTAACGTGATGGCAACTACTATCAAGCCTGTCACAGCTGCAGTAGACACATTAAACAAATTATGCAAGCTTACTTTTTTGCCCCTGCTACCACCTGGAGATCTAGGCACAGCTAGGAACATTAAAAACTAGATACAATCTAATAAAAGACAGATGTGCTTATAAGTCCCAGGCTATAAGTCTGCTAAAATGACTTAAATGCTGTGGGAATTTTTCTTCTATCTTTTTTTTAATAACCATGTTATAATTAGAGCCACATGTGGAGTGAGTAGCAGGACTTATCTCAAAGAAAGAGCTGAAAATGAATAGTTTTACCACATTGCAGTAAATGTCAACTTTTCGATATGGCCCTACATATACAACAGACCAAAAGTATCTAAAAATATAAAAGGAGTTCTTCATCAAAAAAAGATAAACTTGATAAAATGGTTTTATTTAAAAATCTTCCTGCAGTTGGCTTTTGAAAGAATCAACTATTACTCTTATATGGAATGTTAATGCTTAGCATCCAATATTAATATTGTAATCTCTTGATAATATGAAGAAAAGGTCACAGAATTGCATATTTATAAAACTTACATTAGAAAAATATAAGATAAATATATTGTTGACTTATTCCTAAAATTTAAGGTGATTTCTGTTGTTGTTGTTTTGTTACTTTATAAAATTGAAAAGATTTAAATGTCAAGGAAATCAGGATATTCCAGAATGTAAAACATACATAGTAGACTGCCAATATTGGGTATCAGTAATACCATAGGCAGATTTCATGAAGCTGGAATAAAAAGTAATGTGTATTGGTTACTACTCTGCAAGGAAAATTAAGTAATATTCTTCACACTACTTTAACAGTTCTTTTTTTATGCTTTACTAATTGCATGATCCCATGTAATCTTTTATTAAGATCTACATTTTATTGACTAATACTATTAGCTGACTATAAGTGGAGCTAATTGTATAGCATGCAATTTGTTATTCTGATTCTTTGTTATTTTACTGTTTGTACTCTTACATATCTTCCAAATTTTAGTGGTGAAATAAAATTTTTGTCCTCAATGAAATATAATTCATAAAATAATATATCACATTCATAGCATTAAAGTGTATACATATTGCATTAAAAGCCAGGTAATTTATTTATGTAAACTGATAAATAAATTGGTGGTTTGGTTGTAAGCAGTTTTCTTCTACGTTATTTATTTACATTCTTTATTTATTTATTTATTTATTTTCTTAATATTGAGCATTTAGTTCAGAGTAAAATAATGGCAATGTTGCCAAGTCCAGTTATTTTGGATAACTTGCTTTCCTTCCTATGTGTGTGCGGGAGTATCTTTATCTATAACTGTGTGAGTGTTTGTGTATGAAAACTTTATTAATATCTCCATTCTACTTCTGAAGGACATTGAATACCTTTTACTTTGTGAAAACGAGCATCAGAAAAAGAATCATAAGAGAATTACCATAATTATTTTTTTAAAAGAGTGCTTAAATAGTTTACAGCATTGTTTTTAGAGTTTTGAAGATATTTTACCTTTTCTTTCAGTGCCAGTATTCCAGGAAGTTAGGAACAGAGACAGATATGAGACATGATTAATAATACGCTTTTCTGCCCTCCTAAACATCTTAAGATGCTAGTCCAGTAGAAAAACATAAAAAAGGCCTAAGATACTGTCACTATCTCTACTTCGTCATTGTCATTTTTGTGGAATAACTGCTGGTCCTAAAACTTTAGTCCGATTTAGACATAATTTATGTTGCTCATTGTTAAGTACATTATCTTTATTTCTTATTAAAAAAAATACTTCCTGATCAAAATATAAAATATCTGCAAAAAGAAAAAGGGTTGATCAGCCCCTATTGGTTCTAATAAAATCTATGGGGGCCAAGAGAGGTAAGGCCTTTTTCCTGAATTACAATATTTGGGCTTAATATTTTAGATTGTTGAGCCAAGTTATTGTAACTGATTTATTAGTTGAACTTATCAAAACTAAACATGCCACTTGTAATAATAACATAAAAGAAGATATAACACTAAGCAGGTAACTAATAAAAGTTACACACTTTAAAGCAGGGGTCTCCGACCTTGGAAACTTTAAGACTTGTGGATTTCAACTCCTAGAGTTCCTCAGCCAGCAAACCCCACCATGTTAGTACATATGCCTAAGATTTATATAATCTTGTTTTATTTGTTTTGTTATTAAATAATTAACATTATAACACACTTACCTAATGTAGCAAATATTGCATTTTTAAAAAGTTTTGATAACACTTTAAAAGGATCAAAAACTTTGAGATTTATTGTAGAGCATTTTTCTTTCCTTTTTTTTATGGAGTTGCAGCAAAACATAAACACCAAAAGGTCATTGAAAGGCTAAACCACACTTTATTTCTCTCAAGAGCACACTATACCAGAATGTCATTCTTCCTCCAAAATGCTATCTGTATCAAGCTACCATTTAAAACCACAGGACTGTTTTATTTGCATCCGTCTGTCTAGATATATTTACTCTTCCTTTATATTCTGTTATTGTCTTGATTTATACTAATGTTGTGTGGTCTGTCCTTTCCTTCTTCAGCTTAATAACCAGTTTTTTTTTTATTGTGTTTGATTTTTCAGTCCCGTCTTTTACCTTCACACCAACAGGTATATATTTGCACTTTTCCCTTGATAGTTTGGCATGTGTCTGTATAATGTATGTCACTTTCTCCCTTTCATCTTCCTTGTATAACCAGGCACATTGTTGAAAATAGAAAGAATTAGTAATGTTACGGAAGGTAGGATTTCATCACCGTAACTGTTTTTATCTGTTTTGTAGATTTAGCACTGGTATTGAGTTAAAACTTTTACATCTTTGGGAAGATTATCTACAACAATATATACTATCTCTGTTTTCATAATTCTGTTCAGTCTTAATATTCGGCCACTTAAAATCCTTTTTTCATAAAATAGTTCTTGAAGGACATTAGAAACTACATAAAGGAAGTCAGCATCCATTATAATAAATTTTAATGACAAACATTATGATTATTAAAATAGACATCTACAGAGGCTTGACTTCACAACTTGCCATGCACTCTCCACAGTTTGTGTCTCTATACAGACACAATATAGATTCTAATTCCAAGTAGTGTAGAGTTTCACATTCAGATGTCCTGTGCTTTAGGAAATGCCAGTAAGACTTAATGTAGAAACAACATACAAATGATATTTAATTTAATATGTAATCCTGTCTGAACTTTAACCTAGCTTATTATCCATCTTTCAAACTGAAATATTCTTAAATGTCTACTACTGTTGAATATTGGACAAATAGATTAGTAGCAGCAGGAGTGGGGCATTGATACATGTCTTTTGCAGAGGTTCCAATGCTCCATCTGCCACTTTGCCAATTTTGACCGGTTCCTAAGATGTCACTGTAACAGTCATAAATATCCAAAGAAAATAGGGGTGTGCAGCTGTTGGGATCAGAAGCAGGATTCAGTGTGGATACAGTTTGCTGTACTTGTCAGTGGCTCTTTAAAAAGCGATATTTTTTCCTGGGCTTGCGTGGTTGCCACCTAGGAAAAATGCCTTAGAAATATACATAAGGGAGCATTAAGTACACTGCAACAATGTTCCCATGTTGATTCAAAACATTTTTCCCACTTCGTATTTTAGTAGCTTCCATTAAAAAGAAACATAAATAAATACTTATTTCTGAAAATATCCCCATAAACCGTGTGTTGTTAAAAGCCATTCTCAACACGAATGTCACTATTGTTTCTAAGGATTTATTACAACACAGGAATCATCTACACAATTCTATGTAAAAATAGTTTTATGAATCACTTTCAGAATATGAAAGGTTAGTGTCCCTAAAATTCTTTATTTTTATTTTTTTACTCCTCATTTACTTTTAGCTTTGTATTAAACTCAGACATGTTTAGAATTGATCTAAAGTTACAGATTAATATCAAAAGCCTTTTTAATATGTTGATTCTGCAAATAACTTTTTAAAAAAACGTTAGTTTAAGTATATTAGTACCATTGAAGAATTCATTCCCCCAATTAACATTGTATTTAAACTCACTCTAACATCTCTGGGAAAAATGGAAATATTTCTGTGAAGCGATGGCTTTCCAGTAAGGAACAAGGAGATTTCACAATAAGTAATTTGAAATTAATGTTGTTTTACAAATTTAAAACTTTTATTTATTAACATATTAATTATTTATTGATTATAATATTAAACTCTGCCTTGCAGACTGTCATTTTGGAGTTCTAAAAAGACGGCTGATTTTTAAAACACTGACCTAGTTTCCAAACCTTTCCATATGCACAGCAAATTCATTTCATGTATGACTCCTAACTTAATTCTTATTTACAAATGCACTGATAAACATTTAGCACATTTTAAAAACATGTTCTTGTACTATTGTCCATCAAACAATACTGCTTTGGAATTATATTTCATTTTTACTTCAAAGATGAGATGGGATAACGTGCAGTGCAATGCTGTGCGTATCTACATTAGTACAGTTTACTTATAGGAAAATCAGAATAGGTAACTCTGAAGAAATTAATATTTTAGATTAGAATTTGCTTAAATAAGCAAATGTCTTTCTGAAGTTATCTGTCAAGATTCATGATTGATCTTGTTCAAAAAATTAACAGTATTTTATTTTATTTTAATCTTTCAGTAACATATCAAAGAGGAGGAGAAGCTGTAAGCAGTGGAGGCAGGTAATAATGTTTGATGTTAATTTTCAGCATAAAATGCAGCAAAATTACCTACAGCATTTCAGATTTAATTTGCACACAGGCAAACATGCATCACCGAAATTAAACAGCAGAGGGAGCACTTTAACTTCAAACTGTAAAGTTTGCTACTAAGAGAAAGCGAAATAACAAAAAAAAACCAAGACTGAGATTTTTAAAAATATTACACATTTAATAATGCTGTTTAATCAAAATGTTTTACATTTTAGACTTTTCTCTTATAGGAGAAACTTCTATGTTTCAATAAACTAAATCAGGAAAAATATGTTATGATTGCTGGTCACAGAATAAATGAGAAATGAATGAAATTCCACTTGTCTTAAGGTGTTTAATCAATGTATTTTAACAAATAAATACCATCAACATTTCACTGAAGGGTTATTCATAAATTAATTATATTGTGAAAGAAGAAAAAAGTTCTTGATATTGTATTAAATCACTGGTATACATTTTATCTGTCTAGAAACATGATTTTAAAAAAAGATGGCATGTTTACATTTGTTTAGGAATGTGTGAGGTTCTGATTACATTTGGAAACATATACTTCATAATCAGGAATGTGAAAATCCTTTAAAGTGGTATAGGGCACCTTTCCAAACTGCTTATTATATTGAAGTAGCGACATTTCTTATGACTTATAACTTTGAGACCATTTCATAATCTTAAATGATACTAATGTTTTTCTGACTGATTATGCAACCGTATTTTATAAACAATATGATCACTTGTAGTAACTATTTTGTTTTTTTAATTTTATTTTCACTTTGCACAATAGTCAATGACAAAAATGAAAGACTTGCTAGATTTTGACATATAAATGCAGCAGAATAACCTGGGAATTGACAGTTGCTAATGTGTGAAGTCATAGTACCTAAAATTATCTGCAGCACATAAGATGTAATTCTTCATATTCTTCATATCAGTAGTCTTGAGAGAGGTAGAGGTGGAGGTACATGTCCTACTTTGAGTTTATATTTCAGCAAATGCCTGAGCAATATTAATTTCTAAAAAAGGGCAAGGAAATTACCAGCCAGTGCTAGTCACATGAACAAATAAAATTTTTCAAAAAGAGTAGAATGACATAATATGGGAAATGAAGAAATAGTAACTTTTATTTGAAGTTGTCTGTACATGTGTGGGATCTAGATTGCATGCTCCTCCTCCTCTCCACCCAGTCCGTGGAAAGTTGTCTTCCATAAAACCGGTCCCTGTTGCCAAAAAAGGCTGGGGACCAACTCACACCAAGATTTCTTATTACTAATATATAAAAATGCATAAACATCAAGTTTTATTGTCTGGATTTTCTTGGCTTCATGAATAGCCACTATAAGAATGCAATCTTACTCATAATATGCAGGTTTATTCCCCAAAAGCAAGACAGTTTCTCCTGGGTATCACAATATTTTTTATTTTTAAAATAATATTCTAGGTAATCTAGCCTTTTCTATGGAGTAGAATATTTCAAACCCGGATAAAATAGAAAAGAATGAATTAAATGTTGAAGAGTTCATTGCAAAAAGTTTAAAAAAATAATATTTCTTCATCTCAGCTATAGAATTACTACTTGCTGAATATCTATATAGTTTCACATTTCTGCAGTATTTTATCAGAAATGTATAGTGAGCATTTTTTGAAATATGTAATGAAGGAACTCAAAAATGATGTTCAAAATAGATATCAAGAAACAAGGCACCTCTCATAGCAAGTCCATGAACCACTTTACTGCATTCTGATTTCTAGAGTAATCATGAGGATTGTGGGGAGGGAGGGCTCTTAAGAATAATCAATGTGATCTTTTAAATTTAGTTATTTCCTTTTTTCAAAAATGTAACAACAGATACATTAATTGTCTTTTTTAAGGCCAGGTCTTTTAAACATCAATGAACCTACTACTCAGCCCTGGCTTGCAGATACATGGCCTAATACTGGGAATAATCATAATGATTGTTCTATTAACTGTTGTACATCAGGCAATGGAAACAGTGACAGCAACCTTACTACTTATTCTCGACCAGGTATTTATTATTTATCATCATCATTATTATAACAGTTCCAATAGTCAATCAATAGTCCTACTGATACTTATATGCAGCCACATGTAGTACATAGATTTGAAATACATAACAAGATACTTTATTCTTCCCTAAATATAGAATTTTAAGGCATTTACAAATCTTCAAAATACAATGATGTGCTATAGTTCTTTCTTACATACAGATATTTCTCATTCAGAAACAAGATCATGGTCCAAATTTAATACCAAAGAGTCAGTGCTGCTATGAAGAATTTTGGGGACAGAAGATATTCCTATCATGTGTCTTCTCTGTCATTGTGTCTGTTCTGTGGAACAGCATTCTCCTGGAGATGCAATTGACCTAATCTGTTGCTCCATCTCAAAAGATTTAAGGCCTGGTTGTGCTCACACGAATTTGGGCTAAAAGCTTGAACAAGCCTTGTTAGTTGGTTTTTAGTTCTTGTTTCAATTATTAAAACTAACCTTTTTTTTAACCCTAGGCATTTAGTATATTGACTTTTTTGTATATTGTTTATAAAACATGTTTGTTCCTTTGGTCTTTATTTTTTTTGTATGCCACTTAACATCACTATGGTAAGATGGACAACTATAAAAATTGTATGTTGAGATAAATCAAGGAATAAAGAAAGATCTGTTTCTGAAAGGAATAGGTGAAGTAAAATAACCAAGGATCTGGAGGAACTTTTGTTAAGAGAGGCATACAGTTATGGAGCTGTGGAACAGAAGCTTCTCCTTATGACAGCTTAGACATTAATTTTCCTTTATTCAGTGTAACTATATTGTTAGAAATGTATTTTGTTTTACATAGAAAAGTCATGTACACATGTTAAAATTCCTACTGTAACTGAATATATTTTTGACTTTTTACTTCCTAATATGAACAGCTGACTGTATAGCAAATTACAACAATCAGCTGGAGAATAAGCAAACAAACTTGATGTTGCCTGAATCAACAGTTTATGGTGATGTGGATCTGAGCAATAAAATCAATGAGATGAAAACGTTCAATAGCCCAAATCTGAAAGATGGAAGATTTGTCAACCAACCAGGACAGCCTACTCCATATGCCACTACTCAACTTATCCAATCAAACATAAGCAATAATGTAAACAGTAATAGTGCTGATTCAAATGAAAAGCATTGGAAGCCATCTACACAACAGAAACAAGAAGTTGCACCAATTCAATTCAACATAATGGAACAAAACAAATTAAACAAAGGTAAATTGTTTGTAGTATTTTCCTACCTTGTGTTTTAAACCTTAAAACACTGATTTTAATCAGTTTTGAAACTCTTTAAACAAAAAGGACAATTTGTATACTACTACATTCATAGTGATTTAAACCATTTCCAAACTGTTATGAAAACATCAATCACATATGGATGAACAAATCACTTTCTAGATATAAAACCTATTTATTTGAATTTGTCAGCCTGGTAATTAGTGCAATGTTCTCCAAAAACTCAGTTTATTCTAATAAATAAGACAATTAAATAAATATTTATGTGGCTTTTAGCTTAAATTCAAACAATCTAATTTTTATCCAATAATTTTTGAAAAATATAGACATTAACTTTAATTTTCCTTAATTTGATAGTAGATGCATGAACAGCTATTCGAAAGAAATATAATGTTATTTTATTAAATTACAGATTACCGTGTAAATGATAATGTTACAACTATTCCATATAATCAGACCTATGATCAGAATACAGGAGGGTCCTACAACAGTTCAGACAGAGGAAGCAGTACATCAGGTAAGTATTCAAATGTGCAGTGCATTTTGTAAAATAAATATTCTATAATGCATTATAATATGGTTGACATATTTGGAGAACTCATTCTCTATTCTGTACATATTTTATTTTATTTATATGTATATATTTGTCTGTATCCTGCCTTTATTAATTTTTACAAATAACTCAAGGCAGCAAACATATCCAGTACACCTTCCTCCTCCTATTTTCTCCACAACAATAACCTTGTAATGTGGATTAAGCTAAGAGACAGTGAGTGACCCAAGGTCACCCAGCTAGCTTAGATAATATAGATATATAAAGCATATTTGAGTCAGTGTTGACTTTTGTCTTTGCAAACTTCTTAGAAAGATTTCAGAAGTGGTTTGCTATTGCCTTATTCTAGGCTTGCAAATCACTGACTGATAACAATTTTCTGGATTCTAGCATAGCAACTTAACCAACCAGCTTCAATGCAATTTAGACAAGGCAGAGTGTGAATATTATTAAAAACATACATAATGTGTACACATTTCTTTTCCAAACAAGTTTGTTGCTCAGAATCCAGCAACTTTTAGATATAGTTGCATTGGGACTTTTCAACGCAATATTTCAATGCACTATGCCTCATGTTCTTATTTATTTGGTTTTTTTGTTTGTTTATTTTTGGTTTGAAAACATTGCAAAAGATTTTATGGATTAAGGTAATTGATTGCTATTCCCCCTTCCCATTTCCTTTTTTATTAAATTTCTTTTAAATAAACCTAAAATCAATCACTCTCTTATTATCCTCCTTTTAAATCCTTTGAGTTGAAAAGGCAAGGAAAACATATCAAATAATCTTTATAAAATGATTTAAACAGTCACATTTTTTCATATGACTTTATTAAAATTTTAATAAAGTTAAAGCTAAAAGCTAACAGAAAAAATATTTAAAATAAAAACAAGAAAGAAGAAACTAAAAATGATAAAGCCAAAAGTGTAGAACAAAAGAAAGAAAATATAAAGAGAGAGCTTCTGCTTTTCTTACAGCAATTATAAGTATAAATTTACTTTTACTCCATGGCTCAGCATAGCTTTCATTTTTTCTGTATTTTTTTTTCTAATCATCAAATCCATATATCATAAGTTCATCTTTTTCTGTTTCTTATAAAAAGTCTATAAAAGGTTTCCAGTCAGCAATAAATTAGTATCTTTTCTCTGGTACAAAATATCAATTTCACCATCTCAGTAAGTTCCATCATCTTCGCCATCAATTCCTCCATTGTGTATAATGTTCAATCTTTCCATCTGTCTGCATATAATAATATTGATGCACTTAATATGTATACTAACAAAGTTCTGAGTTCATTCTAACTGTGGTTCCTAACAATGGAGGATTTGTACTTTAAGACTTGTAAGATCAATGTCAACCTTACCAGACAGACCAGACAGGAAATATGACCAAATATAATTGTAAGGCTACATCAACAATAGAATACTACAAGTCTGAAAGTACAAGTGCAAATATCCACTGTCTTCTTCACAGCTTGATAAACCAGGGACTGTCCCTTCTGAGATTCTTGTTCTGCTTACTGTCCAACTATTGGCTATGCCTCAGTGGTGGGATTCAATTTTTTTTTACTACTGGTTCTGTGGACGTGGCTTGGGGAGTGTGGTAGGGGAAGGATACTGTAAAATCTCCAGTCAGAGGTGGCATTTGCCAGTTTGCCGAACAACTCAAAATTTCCACTATCAGTTCTCCAAAACTGATCAGAACCTGCTGAATACCATCTCTATGCCTTCTCTAATCTGGCCATTCCCTGTGCATCATTTTTTCACCTTGTCTGTCAAGATCTTTCCCACATACCATTACAGTGCCAAAAGAAAAGCCTATAGTTTAAAATGTATATTAAACTTTGAAATATTTTGAATTAGTGTATATATTTGAATCCAAAATTTTCTGGATTTTTTTACACCTCTACCCAGCTTGATAAAATGTCTCTTGTTTACATTTCCAACAGTCATAAATTCTTCATAATTCAAACAACTCTAGAAATGTATAAGTTAACAATTCATCTGTCAAATGTCAGTTTTTATTACATCTCATGTCAAATTCCTATTCTAAATTTAACAATGCCCAAACAATTGGTCTTTATAATATGATATTTATAATAATAAACAATACCATCGTCATTGACAAAAATCACCAACACTCAATTACAAAAGGCAGCTTTGCTCAGAACAGCTTACATCTTGCAATACTTTTATCATCAAACATCCACATCTACCAAGTCCTTGGGAAGGACTCAATAGGTGGACAAAAAGGTCAACTCAGAAAAGATTTATAAGTGCTGTGATACATTTTTTCACAGGGAGCCAAGGGCATAAAAAGGGTGCTAAAACTCCAAAGACAACTAAACAAGCTGGAATGAATTGGGCAGAAGTACTTCCACCACCTCCTGTTCATCCACCTCCCCATAATGATAGTGAAGATTACAACCTCTCTATGAATGAAAGGTACAATAAAATGATTTTGTAAGTCATTTTAATTCACTTTATTCATTCAGTAAAATATAAGAATTAATCAGTTTAGAATTACAAAGGAAGAGATTAAGAAGTAATAACTGAAGAGAAATATATCTGATCCATTGTATTTTTATATTGTTACATTGTTTCATAGCTATGATCATGAAATTCCTTGCCCACTACCACCAACAAGAATGTATATACGGCAGGATGAGCTAGAAGAAGAAGATGACGAACGGGGTCCTACACCACCAATTCGAGGAGCAGCTTCATCTCCAGCAGCAGTGTCCTATAGCCACCAGTCTACTGCTACACTAACTCCTTCTCCTCAAGAAGAATTGCAGCCTATGCTGCAAGATTGTCAGGAAGAAATAGCCCATTTGCAACACCCACCAGACCGACGGTATGTTAATTAAAAAAGTAACTTTTTATATTTTATGCTAATGTATTTTGTTAGAAGATATTATCTATGTGTCGTTAAGGTACTCTTGAAAGGAATTATTCATGAAGACTATAATACTTCATCTTTTCAAGGTCACATAGTAAGCACAGATGCATAATTTGGCCATCAGTGTATTAAGTGTCAAATTAATATGTCTACAGCATTATTACAAAAGCGTGCTTCTTTACAGGCACAAAAGCTATTCTTATCACACCATATTTTAAAACTCACAGCATTTAAAAAGTATAGAACAGTTAGAATGATTAGCAGATTATAGAAAGAGAAAGTATGATGAATTAATTGAATAACTGTTTATCATTGTTCTTTCTGCCATATAAGAGCTAAAAGGGTATTGGAGAAACTGTTATTATATCGAGTACAACTTTACACAAAATATTTCATTATGGAATCCATTGTCATAATAGTCATAACAGTCTCAAGATTAGATTACTTTAACAAAAATATACGATAGAACAGATTTATCGATGGTCAGTGAACCTATGTCTATTAACTGAGCTAATCTTAAATAACTTTTGTATTTCAAATTATATGTAAGTGATAGTAAATGTTGACGGTGCAATATTTGTCTTGCATTTCATTTCATTTCTTTGATTGAGTTGATATGAGTTTCCTGATAGGTTTGAGATTTTGTTTCATACTTCTTTTTATTTTGCAACATCATTTTCACTTTCGTAGTTTTGAGTTTTTTTAAAAAAATGTTACAGGTTTACATCCTTCCAAAGCATATACAGTAAAATGTTCAATAAATTATAACATAAAATATAAACCTTGACCTTCCATATCTTAATTTTCAGACCTAATAATTTTTTAAACTATGGTGAATCAGTTCATATTGGTCAATACTATATGAGAAAAGTAGACCTGTGGATGACATATCACTGTATAACTGAATCTTTGACTGTGCTCATACTGTTCTTTTTAGGGGACAAAAAACAGAGAGATGGGAAATGAGCAAAAACTCACTGAAGAAAAATAACAGATGAAGTAGCAGTTTAGGAATGATTATTGGTTAAAATTAGCCAGTCCTTCAGCAGCATGTCTATATTTCCCCATATCCAAAGCTCTGTTCTCTCATACATTTGTGTATACACACATATACATATATCTTATTTCATGTTTATTTTAATTTGGATTTTAAAATGGATTGAGTATTCTGAGTTTCTGAAAAATTCTAAGTAAAAAATAAAAAATAAACTGCAAAGACATGAAACTCTGGAAATAAAGCACTTGACAGCTCAAACAGAAGGCATGATTTATAGTCTACAACTGCATACAAGGGCTGAAATATTTTTTCTCTGAAGAGTTTCAGAAGAAAATATATTTATCTAGATAGGTTTTTAAATGAAGTCAGCTTATTCTGGATGTTAATCAGAATCATTATGTGATTTTTCCCCTAACTGCAAATTATTCCTACATATTTTTTTGAATCAGTTTCCAAATTTTCTTCAAGACCACTTTAAAATTTAGAGAGTATCTAATCTTTCCCATCTCATTACTAATATAAAGAAAGGATGCAGAAAATTCTGGCATTTCCCCCTGTCAGTATTAAAAGCAGTGTTTCATAATTTTTCTGAGTTTTTGGCCATTCAAATGTGTAGTACAAACAATTTGGTCTTATAAACTGTTTTATTTAAACTCTGTAAAGATAAACATATTCAAGTATAACTGATTTTTTTAAAGAATGCTATAAATTATCAAGTTTCGTGTATTATTTTTCTGTCTACTGAATGACTACAACATCACAATTGTAAAGTACTTATTTGATAAACCAAATTCAGAATTTGTAAGTACTTGTCATCTATGTTTGTTTCAGATATAACCATCTGAAGGAAAATTCTTCATTTCACTTTAGTAACCAATAACTTTGAATTACAAACCAGTACAAAACTATATTATGTAATGAATACAAGTATTAAAAATGCTATTAACATTAAAATTATTTTTTTTAACTATTCGCTCACAGGCGTCAACCTGTGAGCCCACCTCCACCTCCCAGGCCTATTTCACCACCACATACTTATGGTTACATTTCGGGACCTCTTGTATCTGACATGGATACTGATGCACCAGAAGAAGAAGATGAAGCAGACGTAGAAATAGTAAAGATGCAAAACAAAAGGCTTGTTTTGCGTGGCCTTGAACAGACACCTGCTTCAAGTGTGGGAGATCTGGAGAGTTCTGTGACAGGTTCCATGATCAACGGATGGGGTTCAGCCTCAGAAGATGATAATATTTCAAGTGGACGATCTAGTGTTAGTTCATCAGATGGATCCTTTTTTACAGATGCAGATTTTGCACAAGCTGTTGCAGCAGCAGCGGAATATGCTGGTCTTAAAGTAGCAAAACGTCAGATGCAAGATTCTGTGGCAGGTGAAATTTCTTGTTGTCTTTATATTGCCTTCTAAAAATTATGAATCACAAAGTTCTTTTATGAAGTTGTTTCTGTTTTATGTGAATCCTGTGAAAAAGATGCCTATCAAGAATAATAGTTTGTTTGAATGTAAAACTAAATCCTTTCTGTCATAGATACTGGTCTACCTTATCTTAGAAAAATAGAAAGTTGCTAATATATCTCTATACAGCTGTTTGTAATTTTGTTAAGTAGTGGTCCAAAAAAGAAGAATCATAATTATACAAAAATCAATATTAAGATAAGCCTTCCAGAGTTGCCAATATTTTCCATATTCTAGAAGGCCATGTGAGTAGATGGTGTCTTTGTTCAAGAGATAAGCCCTTCCTAAAGAAAGTATCCATTATCATGTCCCTTTTTTCACAAGTGTAAGAGGACACCTTTAATAGGTATTCTCTTGTTTGGCAGGCATACACTTTGGGAAAGGTCCTCAGGTGGGGCTTTAAAAATAATAATAAACAGTTTGAATTGCATCCAGAAAAAAACTAGCAACAAATTCAGTTCCCACAAGAGTAGATGACATCATGACTATCATGGACCACTGGATTTTGTATCAAATAGAATTGCTGAATGTCTTCAGGGGTAATCTGGTATATTACTACTGATAATAGTGCTGCTCTGGAAACCTGGAAAATAAAGCTTGCTACTCAAAAGAACCAAATCTAGATGCATCTTGCCTGGGGAGAAAAATCCTAATTAATATTCTGCAGCAGTGAATCAGTCTTTATATTAATAATATGAAATTTTATCCAATAATTAGCAATCACCCCAAAGCCAGAACTCTGGGCAGCTTACATTTACAATGCAAAGTTATATACTTTTGTTTTTATGTATGGTTCATTAATTATTGTGTTTTCAGTTACAGAAGGCAATTGTCTGATTTTGGGGGGAAAAATACATCAAAATGCTGTTCTTTTCTAGGCCATAGACATTATCATGCCTCACACTGCCCTAGACCTACTAGTCCTGTCTCCACTGACAGCAACATGAGTGCTGCTATAATTCAGAGGGTTCGGCCTACCAAAAAGCAAAAGCACCAGCAAGGACATCTGCGCAGAGAAGTCTACACAGATGGTAAACACTATTTTTAAACGAATGACTTCCCCAAGTCTTTATAATTATATTCTAATGCTTATGCCAAATTAAAAGTATTTTAATTTGTTTCTCAAATCAATACTCATCCAACAATCATATTATAAGCATCACTATTGTTATCAACTTGTTCTTATTGTTCCTAAAATATTGCATATATATTTGGACATTGATTTTCAGCTATCCCTGTATTTGAGATCAAATCCTGTAAATGGGTGCAACAGTTAGAAATTACACATGTATAAGATTAAAATCTTCATTAAAATACATCCTTCATCATCTGATCTTTTTCCTGTCATAGAAAAAATTTAGCATTTAGATAGCATGCAGCAAAATTATTGGATTTTTTTTATCCCTAACCATTGTATTTGTTCCATGTGGTTACTTTGTGCACCAAAAGGCAAAATCTAATCATCTCCTTTCATGCCTTCACACACAATATCGACTCCTGCTGAAAAGGTAATGCGTGTATTCTCTAGAGAATATAGGGGAATAATGCAAACATTGCAATGTTGTCTAGAGACAGCCTTTAATGAAAATGCCTCAGGAGGGCCAGTTTTTATTAAACCACCTATTTCATAAAACAACCATGAATTTATGAAAGATATTTTTCCAAAGAGCTGCCCATCTTGTCATGTTTACTAAATTCACTAAAAGGGATGTAGCACAGGCATAATTTCTTCCCAACATATGCACGCACGCACGCACGCAAAGAGGGAGAGAGAGAGAACCATCTCCTTCCTGGTTCTCATCAGCAACAATCTGATTTGGACTTTCATTACCAATCAGAAATATTTCAAAGAGGGGCATCATTTTCCATTATAATATCAAAGCCTAATATTATGGATACTTATCTAGGGTTACACGAAAGGGGTTTCCAGCCACTTCTCCCTGTGATTCCTGCCACTTGACAAAAAAATGTGATATAAAGCTCACAGCATGATGAGCAAAAGTAATTTTGCAATGAGTGGTTGTCTCTGTTAGTCTCTGTACTTCATTCTAAGAATTTGCTCTCACTAACGTGTCTGATATTAGGCTACATTAAACACAGGCATGATCCTATGCACCTGTTCATTTGGCTTTTACCCAGACTCCTTTTGTCATTGAAACGGAATGTCCAAATTTATCTTATACCAAGAAATTACTAAAGCAGTTTTCTGCATGTTTTTGTTTATCAGTTTTTGTTTTTCTCTTTAAGTGAAATCTCAAAATTGTACCAGGAAGATTAAATTTATGGAAGTCCTGTAATGATGTTTTGCAGGAATTTATAGATATTTTAACTGATTTTATTAGTTTTACATGAGTGCTTCAGTGTGAGAAATGAACTAAGCATAACACCTTGACATAAAAACATATGTGCTGGGAGAATGCTGGATAAGAAATATTTTCAAAAACATCATAAAATTATTTTTATCTAATAAAAATAAATGGTGAAAAGATTCATCTAGTGCCACTATTTTTAAACTACTGCATACTTCTTTTTTAGAGAACTGCATACTTCTGTGAAATACTTGAACCTAACCTCTAATATATATGCTGCATCATCAATAGGGATCATTTACTTATTGAGTACTTTATGTAATGGGGAATGAATATGCTTGTGCTGTAATGAAGTCTAGAACATGATAAACAAGAGTAAAATGTTATTCTTAGATTTTCCATCTTAACTGCAAATCTTTTGAAATTCAGATCAGTTCTATTATCAAATACATGCTGAAAATCAAGCATGCATATAATACATTAGAACAGGGCTCGCCAACCTTTTGGACCTCAGGGACCAACAAACTCATAATTTTAAATCCCACAGACCATTAATACGAATCCAGCATGCTTCTTGCTGAAGCACCTGGACTCCCACTGACAGGATAGGGTCCTTCAGGTACTTAGCTGGGCTGTCTGTTTCTGCAACTTTAAATACTCAATGACTCATTTGGACCCATTTCCCACAGAAAACAAAACATCGGGATCTCTCATCCCTCTCCCTCCCCCCCCTCTCTCTCATATCTCTCCCTTTCCCTTCTTTCTCTTTCTTTCTCTGTCTCTCCCCCTTCTCTTTCTCCCTCTTTCTCTTTCTCTCTCTCTCTCCCCCCCCCCGTCCCCAGGGGTGGGGGTAAAGGAACCTCTGAACTGGTGCTAGCTGGTGAGAATCTGATTTCCAGAGGCCGACGAGCCATGTGCTCAAGACCAGATGGCTGGCAGGGAGGTGGGGCAACAGGGGTGATACCGGTGGTGGATGGACTGATACGCACGGGAGATTGCGGCATCAGAACCTTTCCTGGGTGTTCCCTGGCTGGGGTGGGGGTAGGGGGAAAGGAACCTCTGAACTGGTTTTACCTCCTGCCTCTGCCCATCGAGGAGGTCGAGCAGCTGCCAGTGATGCCCTCAGGTGAAAACGTTGCAAGGGGGAGGCTCACCCCTCCCCTCAGGAGCCACAAAGTGCTCACCGCTCCTCTGGCATCTGCCAAACTTCTTTCTTCCCACTAAGCATGTGAGCGTTTCTGGCGAGGAGGGAGAGAAACAAGGTGGGAGGAGGCTTGGCAGCTGCCAGAGGGGCAGCAAGCGCTTTGAGGCTCCTGAAGGGAGGGGTCAAGCCCCCCCCTCACAACATCTTCACCTGAGGGCATTGCTGGCAGCCACTTCCTGTGGCTCAGGAGGTCCGCGTTCTTCCCGCTGCTGCTCGGCCTCCTCAATGCGCAGAGGCAGGAGGCAGCAGCTACAACATGGGTTTGCTAGGGAGACTGAAAGATTGCTCCATCTCCCCGCCAGCCATCTGGTCTTCAGCATGTGGCTCGTCGGCCTCTGGACATCAGATTCCCACCATCCAGCACCAGTTCAGAGGTTCCTTTACCTCCACCCCCTCGCAGGCCAGGGAACACCCGGGAACGGCTCCAATGCCACAATCTCCCATGTGCTACCCTCCCTCCCTGCACACATCAGTCCATCTGCTGCCGATATCACCCCTGTTGCAGATATGGATGTGCTGTGGCCCACCAAAATTTTCTCACAAACCACCAGTGGGTCATGGCCCACCGGTTGGCGACCACTGCATTATACAACATAGTGCTGTTGTAAAAATAGTTCTGTTGGACAGATCAAGACTAATCTAGCATTCCATTTTTCTTTGTGAACACCAGTTTTCCTAGAAAAGACATTAGACAAGATAACTAGCTCACAATTTCCCATCTTTCTCCTTAGTCCCTTTCTAAAAATGTGAGTCATGCTGTTTACTGTCCTTTTCTCTGGCATTAATCCTGACTTGAGAGACTAATGTGCTCACCCTAAAGGATCCACTGATGACCAGGTCTCTGACTCAAACATATTGGCCTACCTTGTAGGCTTTGTTATGGTTTAATTAAGATAATATTCCTCTCTAGCCAGAGGTGATGAATCAGGAAACTGCATCTGGTTCTGAGTTCTGCCACTGGATTAGGACTGTTCGCCTCTCTTACAGTAGCAAGAATGCAGTCCACAACCCAGAATGCTACAGAAATTATTTCTCTCCAAAACAAACTGTCTCTCCCTCTCCCTTTCAGTCTTTTTTCCCATCTTTTTAGTACCCCCGCTCCAGGGGCTGCCTCTTTCTTTTTCTACTCTGAGCTGCTGGAACCTGTAGTTCTGCTTTCCTGCACTTTGGTTCCAATTTTCTCCCCTTGAGACTACTACTCACTCCAAGTCATCTCCTACCCCTGTTAGATTTCGAGGGATAAGGTTCAGGGAGCACTCGCTAACATATCAAAGATCGGCTGCTTGCAGTCAATCACAGAAGTTATTATCCAAATGGAAGAGCCAGAACATCTCCAAGAGTAGAGAAACACAGCAGCAGCTATAAGTCTTTGTGTAATTTGCAACATGAAAATGCTGCTGATAAAGCAAGGCTCTGCTAACTATTTATTATTTTGGAAGAAGGTCACCAATTTCACATTTGAAATGAATAAGGATTTTCAAACTGATGTCATCAGAATCCCTTGTTTGTTTTTGTTATAGCAATTTACTTTCTCTAATCATAAAATCATAAGATATAAGGGATCTTGGAGATCATCTAACTCAATCTTCCACAAGGGATATACTATTATAGTAGGTCCTGAGATATAGCCATCCAGGTTTTGTTGAAATATTTCTAATGAAGCCATTTCATTAACTCAAGAGGCACTCTGTTCTGTTGTTAAACAGTTCTTAACACCAAGAAACGTTTTCTGATGTTCAATCAAAATTGAATGTGTACCAGGAAAAACAGTGGAAGGGAATCTTGGCAATACAGAGCTTTCCTGAGAGGAAGAAATACATTCCAGAGAGGAACCAAATTTAGAGACTATGGAGTTGTGGGGGGGAGGGGTAAAGAGGATAACCACACCTTAGAATCTCTCAGCATATATCTAAAACAGTAGATTATATCTATCTTGGCAAAATTCTGTCCAATAAAGAATTGGACTTGATTGGATTGCACTCTGTTGTTTTTGGCCTGGACCTGGCAATAATTCTTTGTAATTTAAAGTCTTTGTTTCTTATCCTATCTTATAAATAACTCTTAAAACTAAGATAAATATTCCCTTGTTTTCTATTGACCCGTGGCTTTTCTGGTCTATTTTCTAGTTCAAAACTGTATATCTAAATAAGTTCTATTTTTTTTTTTTTTACCAAATGTTACATTGGCTTTATATCTTAGACCAAGCGTCCCCAGCCTGCTACCTATTTGGAACTGGGCTGCATGTGAGGGGAGCTGCACGCTGGCCCGTCACTCATACAGCCCTCTTCCCCCCCCCCCAGCAGACCACCCAGCTGCAAAAGTTGGGAACTGCTGTCCTAGACTCAATGGTGACTGAATAAATTATATTTTTATTAAATATAGGTTCATTTTTTACATCTGAAATACAAGAGTACATTTGGTGTAACATGTTCTGACAGGATTGCAATGAATTCCTGGCTTTCACAGAGAAAAATGGAAGTTCATAAAATAGCACATTCAGTTCAGTAAAAGATAAGCAGGAATTCAGAGTGTGTCAGGGATGGGCGAAAGGTTTCAAGAAGTGTTCCATTTTACACAGTTATCAGTACAAGAGAATGCAGAACACAATGGCAAAGAATATCATATTCTGTGATATTCTTAGTCATAGAATATTAGCATTCTAGAGGTTTCCCGTCTTAGAAAAGAAAAACAGAATATTTCTGGACTGAAGAAAAAAGGGGAAGGAGGACTAAATAATTACCATACACAGAGATTTTGTTTCTGAAGGTCAGGGTCAGATGGTTTCTTCAATATTTGGAAGAGAAAGACCATAGTAATTGCTTTTCAGTAGACTTTGGCTGGGTCTGCTCATTTTTTAACTTGACTTGTTAAAATTGCAGTTGTTCAAGAATCAGGGACTCAAATCAGTTCAAAGGGTGAGTATTGTGCGTATCTTTTTGTCTGATTCTGGAATCAGCTAATCAGGTGAAGACAGCTGGCTCTTCTAGGATTCAAATGCAGCCAAGGATCCAAGACAATTGTTCCTCTAAAATCTAAGAAGCCATTCTACTAAGTTCAGCCTCTGACTGTATTATGCGCCCAGTCCATGGGAAGACCCTTAACAGATTTCATCTCAGATTTCCTGAGCTAAAATCCATTCCCTGCTGGTAGGTCTGGCCTCACTCAGCTAAAATCTTGCTTCAGAGGAGGTAAAAAGGTAATCCATACACCCACACACCCCAAAAGGCAAAAGATTAGTAAGTGAGGAAGAGAAAGTTTTCTAAAGTTCAATTATGGAAAGAAATAAAAAAGGAGATGAGATGAGTGGGGTTTTCCTTCTTTTATACATGTGTGCCTTGACATGCAAATATTACAAGTACAGATAGTCCTTTTGAGAAATAAAACAAAAAAGTAACAGAGTCAAATGAAAGAGATTGCAAAAGAAGCAAAACGTGGAAAAAAATTGATCCAGGTGATTCTGTTAGGTTGAAGGCATTCCTTCTAGCCTGAATAAAAGATTTACTCAAAGCTTTATGGCTCTGAAAAGATTTGCCAGGCTTCTTTTAATTAACAGCAACATTCTAAAGAATAGCAGGTAAATATGCCTATTGGTCTAACAAAGAAAAGTTGTAGGTTTTATTTATATTTCTGACAATACTTTATTAAACAGGTATCTTTTTGCAACATTTGCCAATGTTTTACCAAAACATGGTAATAAATACCAATCAAGCTGAAGGATATACAGTTTTATTTCGTAAAAATCTTTTTAGTGATTTTTAACATAATTTTACTGGAATCATGTACAGTATGGAACAGCCTTATGAAAAGGGCTATTGAAGGCATCTTTCTTTTTTTCAAAATATTTGGATCCTTTTCCCAACCAGATATGCCCACCAAACTCCTTCTAGTACACAACTGTATTAATTTTACTGTACGAAGATACAGTCTGCTGCAACAAGATGTTTTGGCTATCTCATTTTCAGTAAGACTACTAGCTCTAATGACAAATTACTGAAGTGTAATATATTGAATATTGAAACAGTGTGACTGTACTTCAGAACTTTGAGGGATTTAATCAGGTACCACAGTGCACTATTCATTACTACTTAATAACAATCCCATCATCAGCAGTACTATTGATACTAAATATAATTACCTATTATACTATTTCAGGGTGTAGTTTTTAGTGATGGTTTGTTGTGTCAAATGAAAAATCAGGCTACCTGAAATATTGAATCTAAACATTAGCTGAAACACAATAGCATGCAATACCTAGTATCCTAGGAAAGACTTTTTGAGACTCTACAAGACCAGTCCTGAGTAATGCAAAATAGTAAGCTAACTGTTAATATGGATGTGTTGGCCATTTATAGATGTGGTGATCAAATGTTTGATGCCAGTAGTAGTCTGTTTTAAAGCAGCTATTTCATATTTTATTTCATATTTTAAGGAGCTATTTACATTTTCTTGTTCAATTTACAACAGAATAGTTAGATTGATTTTCTTTCTCCAGAATTAATTTTCCCATGGTCCTTGTATCCCCTCCTGTACAATTTTGTTGAAAATTGCAGTTCTTTTTTTCTAAATGTACATATCGAAGATTTTCCCTGTAGGACATGCTATCAAACAGAACCGGTTAATTGTTTTTCTTAAACAAGCAGTAATATGCAGACTTGAATAAATGAAATAGTTGAACGCAGCTAACCTTTTCCAGTTACCTCTGAGTTCCACATATTGGTTTGATGTCACTCTGTGATTTATTTTTTATTTCTCACCATGGAGGCCTCCATTTTCTTTTTTAATAACTAAGTGTGCCTGTTTGCTGCAGATGAAGCAGATTGATTCTGGATTTTCTCTGTGAGTTGAGCTGTTAAATAAATACCACAGGGGTGAAATAGTGTTGACCTCTGAAAAGTTTCTTTTTTTATTTGAAGGATCCCTCTCAGCATGGAATGATGTGTTGTAATGAATGTTTCTCTACCTTCTCTGCAGGTTTTGATAAAGCTTTCTATAAAGAGCATAACACTTTATGCCAATTGTTACTAGCATATACATTATTATTATTATTATTATTATTATTATTATTATTATTATTATTAT